GTTACTGATGTTGACACTCCTGGTCTTGGTCCTATTCCGGTGGCAACGTTGGATGATACCAATTATATGGCATTCAGATCTTACGTTCTCTCCGCACCGTAAGAAATTTTATATTGCCATTAACAGTCTTCGATTATATTCTTTTTAAGATGTTTATGACATTTTTGTCAACATGAAACAGAAATCCACAAGGAACTATATTGAAGAGTACGACAGGTAAGGACAACAATGCTCCATCCGTTGCTAACTTCTCTTCTCGTGGTCCAAACACTCTCTTTATCGATATCTTGAAGGTAATAATCACTCATTGAGTTATAATTTGCATTTTTTGCAATTTGGATCGATCAATGTCTTCACATTATAAGTTCAATCAATGCATGCAGCCTGATATAACAGCACCAGGAGTGAATATATTAGCAGCATATTCACCATTGGCTCCAACCGCGCTCCCTGGACAAAGCGTGGATTACTATTTCATGACCGGAACATCTATGGCTTGCCCTCATGTCGCAGGTGTAGCTGCCTATGTCAAGACATTTCATCCTGAATGGTCTGCGTCTGCTGTCAAATCTGCTATCATGACTACCGGTAAACTAACAAACATCAAACCGATCTATTCCCTGAAGAAAAATCGTAAGTGACTTGAGACACGAATTGATCCTTTTTGTTTGGTTTTGTTGCAGCTTGGGCAATGAACGCTTCCAAAACTGCAGAAGCTGAGTTTGCATATGGATCAGGATACGTTAACCCTACAGTGGCAGTTGATCCAGGGCTTGTTTACGATATAGCCAAAGAGGACTACTTGAACATGCTATGTTCTTTGGACTACTCTTCCAAAGGCATTAGTACTGTCGCAGGTGGAGCCTTTACTTGTTCTAAATCAAAGCTTAGCATGAGAGATCTCAACTACCCTTCAATGGCAGCCAAAGTTTCAGCATCTTCGGATATCACATTTTCAAGAACAGTCACCAATGTTGGGAAAGACGGATCCACTTACAAAGCTCAAGTGTCTGGGAATCCTAAACTCAGCATCAAGGTTGAGCCAGAGACGCTCTCTTTCAAGTCTTTAGGTGAGAAGAAGTCTTACACTGTTACAGTGTCCGGCAAGAGTCTTGCCGGTATTTCTGGTATCGTGTCAGCGTCTCTGGTTTGGTCGGACGGCACACACAATGTGAGAAGTCCTATTGTTATGTATATCTAGGCATCAACCCCAACTCATGACAATATAAAGTATTTGATATTAGACCATCTTCATTAGACATATTAGGTGAGTGTCTTAATATATAATAAAAAAAATAGAAATATTAATATTGTAAGATAGTTATTTTTTGAGAATATGAGACACCATGTCATAAGGTCTTCCTTAAGACATTTTTATTAGGTTTATTTTTTTATTTTTAAGACTCATAATATAATATTAGTATTTTATAATTAAATTTATGTTAAGACACTCACAAAAAGTGAATGGAGATGGTTGTGGCACTTTTGACACTAGAAATGTTTGATTATTTTTTATTATTTTGACACTTTTTTAGAAGTGTTGTCAAAAGAAAAGAAAAAAAAAAAATCTCTTCTAGAAGTTAAAATTCTGGTTTTTGACTTTTTTCATTCGTTCAAGGTGATGTTTACATTTCCTTGAGACGTAAATTACATTGTTCAGCTTTTGAAACTCTAATTATCACCCTAACCCGGAAACATTCCCTCCATGAACCTCAACGTCAAATTCTTCTTCTTTAGCGTTCTAAACATTGAACATTGCTCATCCATATGTTGTGGACGATGCATATTTAAAGTATATACATTGTGGGTGCTATTGTATGTTTTGCAACTTGCAAGGAAGAAACTTAAAAGAGAATTATACATAGAATATGGGAATATGGGAAATTGGGACAGGACTTTTCGGGAACGGAATGAGACGGGAATATGAGAATCAAAATAGTTGTCCCATATGTGTCCCATTTAAATTTTGGGACGGGACGAGAACGGGAGGAGACGGGACGGGAACGGAATGGGAATTCCCAAAAATAATAAAACATGATAAATTAATAATAATAAAATTCAAATCTCAAAATGTAATCATAAAATTCAAATCTCAAAATTAATAATCATAAAGATAATGCTTAATACTTTTGAATCTTTTGAGTTATGAAACCATATTTACAAATTATTGTATCTAAGCTATATAATATATATCTAATTATGTATAATACTATTATTAATATATGTAAGTGATATATAATTTGTCCCAAATGGGATTTCGGGAATTCCCATTCTTTTCCCGTCCTGTTCCATTCCCAAATGGGAATCAGCTACACATCCTATATGGAATATATTCCCATATGGTAGGGAATTCGGGATTGGGAATGGGACAGGACGAGACTGGACAGGACGGAAAATGTGCCCACCCCTAGATTTGGCAAAAGGAATTTGTATTAATTAAATGAAAAAGGTTACAATAAATCTCTGAATAGAGAAAATAACTAATCTCAAAGGAAAATACAAGGTAAATCGGGTAAATATTAGGTCTGAAAGTAGTCAGGAATCGTCCCTTGATCCGAACTGACGACATGCTCCTTTTATAACTCCAGAAGCAGCTACGAACCTCCTCTGCGCATCTCGCTACGTGCAGCTAACGATCTCGGTGATCTTGGACTATACCGGATTTGAATAAAATCTTTCTTTGATTTCGTCTTTCTTCATCACGACAACCTGGTCCTTGATCGAACTAAGTCGACCGGAATAGCTCGGATAGCGACAACGCTGGAGATGCTTGGTGGGCTCAATGTCTTCCTCTTGAATTTAATTGGGCTTAACCTTAAGTTCTGAATCAAAGTAGTGGACCCTGAGGACATCTCTATCGGTTGATATCATAATCTGAGTCTCTTTTATATATTAAATTAATATAATTTGAAAATATAACTAAATTTAAAATAATAAAAGAAGCCAACCATTAATATAGTAACACATTTTACAATAGTCTCTCAATTTTGTTGATACGGCCTTGTTACATGGAGACATATCACATTTTCTGAGATTCTTTTTCCTCCTTTTTCATTTGTTTTTAACTTTTTAATGTATAGAGACTATAAGAAAGACCCCGCTGTAAATGCTCTTAGAGCATATGCATTGCACATACCCATATAAGGTTCTCAAATATATTTAAAAAACGTTTTTCTTGTAAAAAAGAAAAAGAAAAAAGATTGACCAATAGTGTAATGACATCTGGCGAGCTTCCTCTGAGAGACGTCTCCTGCGCCCCTTCTCCGAGAACCGATTCAGCCCAAAAAATTGCCACATCATTATTGTTTTGTTTTTCTTTCTTTTTCTTTTTCTCTTGGAACCTGTTAGTATATGCAATACATATGCTCTTATGAGCTGGATTCTAGGTGTGGGATCTAGGTCTACCATTTTCTCATAATTTTCTTAAACCCCATATCCATTTTCTTTAACAATATAATTAGTTTCCTAAAATGTATATATTCCTTGATTTGTGAGTAAGTCAAATAAGAAAATATATAACAATGATGTCATGTTATCTTTACAAAATCTGAAAGTAATTTTTGTGGAAGACTAAGGTTGAATCTTTCTTTTTTTCACTAACTAAGGATGAATTTTATTCTCAACTAGGGGGTGACCCGCGTGAGTTTTATTGTTTTTTTCGCAAATCTAATATTGTTTCAAAGATATTATACACATTACTTAAATATGAAACAAATTGAACCATAAATATAATTAGAGTTTGGTAGAAAATTTGTACCATCTTGTTCTATCTCGTCCCATTTCGTTCATTTTCATTATGTACGTTCTTTCCTGTCTTGTATGTTCCGCCCCGTTCAGTCTCATCCTATTCCACGATTCTTTCCATTTTGTTTATTCTTGCCTCATATAATTAGGGATAGGCAAAATTCCCGTCCCGTCCCTTCCCGTCCCATTATGTCATTTTCCATCTCGTCCCGTCCAATCTTGTCCCGTCCAATCCTGTCATATTCCATTTCTTTTCATTTTGTCCCGTCCAACATTTCTGTTTTATCCTCTTTCATCATTTTTTTTTCCGTTCCACCCCTAAATATAATTAGAGGTAGGCAAAATTTCCGTCTTGTCTTATTTCATTCTTTTCCGTTCCTTTAGATCTCGTCTCGTCACTTACTATCGTGAGAAATAAACAAAATTCCCCTCTTCTCTATACAGAATATTTTTTTAGGATCTATAATTCTATACATAATATTTCTTTTCTTTTATAAAAATGACTTTTCAAATTCTTGCAAAAACTATTGTATTATTTAATGATTATATTAATGAATGATCATAAAGACTTAAAATATAAGAAGAAAAAATATAATAAATTAAAATTAAGAAATACAATGCTAACGTGGCAAATTGGTAAATTTATAGCATCCTTTTTGGTGACGTATCACGATCAGAAGAGAATCCTTTGAACTATATATATATATATATATATATTTATATATAAAAAAACATTTTCTGTACTTACTAGATTTTATGCTAAAAATTATTACAGAAACAAATTAAAAAATTGGACTCCTAATATAGAAATATGTAAAGTAATCAATTTACTTTAAAAAAGTAAGGAAATAAAAACTATAAAACACTAATCAATCAGATTTTCCCATCAAAGAATTCACCATATAAAATGAAATATAATAATATAATCAATCCACATATTCAATTACATAAATGATAAATCTCTACAACATCAATGCATTGTATATATAAAACACACACACACATATATAACCATGCATGAGCACCTTCACTAAAGAACTCATATCAACAATTAAACGTCTCGAAAATGGCTTCCCTTGGCTTGATCCTCTGTCTTTCCTCGGTTCTTCTCATGAATCTTTGTCAGATTCCTACAGCTATTGAGGATGAAAGAAAGGCAAGTCATTGCTGATTTCGTCGTCCCGTAACCATAATTTGTATGATTGTCCTAATTCATTCGTATAACATTTTGACGCACGCAGGTGTATATTGCTTACATGGGAGCTCTTCCTTCAAAACCTTCTTACTCTCCTATGTCTCACCACCAGAATATCCTTCAAGAAGTTATTGAATCAAGGTTTAGTTAAGACTCTCAAATGCTCTCAGCCTTGTTTCTTGTTGTTTTATGTCCTCGTTTGTCACTTGTCTTTTCTTTTTGTTCCACAGTTCCGTAGAAGATTCTTTGGTCAGAAGCTATGGAAGAAGCTTCAATGGCTTTGCAGCCAAACTCACTGAATCTGAAAGAGAGAAGCTTGCTAGTGAGTTATATGATCATATATATAAACTGATTATGAACCTAGCTTGTCATGCACGAATGTTAATTTAATGATGATGATGTTATATGTTGTTCAAAGGCATGGAAGGTGTGGTTTCGGTTTTCCCAAACACCGTTTACAAACTTCTAACTACAAATTCTTATGAGTTCATGGGACTTGGCGGCAAGAGCAAGCAAGTCCCTAATGTCGAGACCAATACAATAATTGGTGTCATCGATGGTGGGATCTGGCCTGAATCCAAGAGTTTTTCAGACCAAGGCATTGGCCCGATACCAAAGAAATGGAAAGGAACTTGTGCAGGAGGAACTAATTTCACCTGCAACAAGTAAACAAACATTTTTCAAATCTCTTCTCCAAGTTTCTTGCGTGACACGAAATGATCAAAAGATAGATAGAGGTGTTTAACTAAACCTAATTCTACAGGAAGGTGATTGGAGCACGACACTATGTTCAGGACTCGGCGAGGGACAAAGACTCTCACGGGTCACACACGGCTTCAACAGCCGCAGGAAACAGAGTAAAAGGAGTGAGTGTGAACGGTGTGGCAAAAGGAACTGCAAGAGGTGGTGTGCCTATGGGTAGACTTGCTATTTACAAAGTTTGCGAGCCAGCAGGCTGCAACGCCGAAGGAATTATGGCTGCGTTTGACGATGCCATAGCCGATGGGGTCGATGTTATAACCATTTCCATTGGAGGAGGTGTAACTAAAGTGGATATTGACCCTATAGCTATTGGATCGTTTCACGCAATGACCAAAGGGATTGTTACCACAGCTGCTGTTGGAAATGATGGCTCTAAACTTGGAAAAGCGGGCAACCTTGCACCGTGGATCATATCAGTTGCTGCGGGTTCTACTGATCGAAAATTTGTTACTAATGTTGTTAGTGGAGATGGCAAGACGATACCTGTAAGAAGTTTTGTCTTTGTTCTAGTCAAAATATGAATTTGTGATTTGTTTTCATCAATCATGGTGATTAAAGTATGAACATACAGGGAAGATCGATCAATGACTTTGACCTAAAGGGGAAGAAGTATCCTTTGGCGTACGGAAAAACTGCTTCAAACAACTGTACAGAGGAGCTCGCAAGGTAACTTGTTACTCAAGCAATGTCTAGTGACCTAACTTTTGCCTAAAGTAAGTCCTAGAAACTTATGGAGGTATCATTCTTTTACTGATGCGTAGGGGCTGCGCTAGCGGTTGTCTGAACACGGTACAAGGAAAGATCGTTGTGTGCGATGTTCCAGAGAATGTTACGCAACCTAAAGCAGCGGGTGCAGTTGGAGTTATCCTTCATGTTACTGATGTTGACACTCCTGGTCTTGGTCCTATTCCGGTGGCAACGTTGGATGATACCAATTATATGGCATTCAGATCTTACGTTCTCTCCGCACCGTAAGAACTTTAATTTTGCCATTAACAGTCTTTGACTATATTCTTTTAAAGATGTTTATGACATTTTGTCGATATGAAACAGAAACCCACAAGGAACTATATTGAAGAGTACGACAGTTAAGGACAACAATGCTCCAGTCATTGCTTCTTTCTCTTCTAGTCCAAACACTCTCTTTAGCGACATTTTGAAGGTAACAATCACTCAGAACAAAATTCACAAAACTTTGTGCTTATACTTTTGCATTTGTCTTGACATGATAAGGTCAATCAATGCATGCAGCCTGATATAACAGCTCCAGGAGTGAATATATTAGCAGCATTCTCACCGGTGGCTCAAACCGCGCTTCCTGGACAAAGCGTGGATTACTATATCATGTCCGGAACATCTATGGCTTGTCCTCATGTCGCAGGTGTAGCTGCTTATGTCAAGACATTTCATCCTGAATGGTCGGCTTCTGCTGTCAAATCTGCTATCATGACTACCGGTAAAATAACAAACATCAAACCGATCTATTCCCTGAAGAAAGATGACTTGAGAACCCATTCGATCTTTTTTGTTTGGTTTTGTTGCAGCTTGGGCAATGAACGCTTCCAAAAATGCAGAAGCTGAGTTTGCATATGGAGCAGGACACGTTAACCCTATAGTGGCAGTTGATCCAGGGCTTGTTTACGACATAGCCAAAGAGGACTACTTGAACATGCTATGTTCTTTGGACTACTCTTCCAAAGGCATTAGTACTGTCGCAGGTGGAGCTTTTACTTGTGCTAAATCAAAGCTTAACATGAGAGATGTCAACTACCCTTCAATGGTAGCCAAAGTTTCAGCTTCATCCACTTCTGACATCACGTTTTCAAGAACAGTCACCAATGTTGGGAAAGACGGATCCTCTTACAAAGCTAAAGTGTCTGGGAATCCTAAACTCAGCATCAAGGTTGAGCCAGAGACGCTCTCTTTCAAGTCTTTAGGGGAGAAGAAGTCTTTCACGGTTACAGTGTCCGGCAAAAGTCTTGCAGGCACTTCTGGTATCGTGTCAGCGTCTCTGGTTTGGTCGGACGGCACACACAGTGTGAGAAGTCCTATTGTTGTGTATACTTAGGCATCAACCCGAATCTCAAAACAATAAAAAGCATTTGAAGTAATTATCTAATATATTGCATTTGAAGTAATTATCTAATATATTCTCTTCCTGATGGTGTCAAATTCAGTTTCTTTAAGTAAAAGTACCCTTGTGATGTTAAATTACATGTTTCAACTTTTAAAACCCTGATTATCACCCTTATCCGGAAACATTCCCTCCATGAATTCGTCGAAGTTTTCATCATCCTTGCTGCCTTCTTTATCACTACCCTCCAACTTGGACTTACCCTTTTTCACTGCCATTATGAAACACAATTCCATTCACTCCCTTTTCCAATACTCTAAATTAACTATGATAAAACATGATACATTAAACTTTGTAAATATCACACCTTTTCTCTTCTCATCTTCGTCTGTGTCATCTTCACTGGATGATCGATTCCTGAATTATTAAAAATTATAAAGTATTTAGCTTAAAATGTAATCCTAAAACAGAAAGCCTTAGGCTTTCAAGAGAGGGCAGCGAGCTACACATAGTGAAGCGAAACTGAATTAATGAAATATAAATAAGAGTTGTAACATGACTGTAGTCTCTTTATCCATACCGTTTTCGTTTCTGCTTTTTCTTCTCTTTACTCTCTGATCTTTCACTCTCCTTTCTTTTTTTGTAGTAAAGCTTATCCGCACATCTAGTTGATACAGAAAGAAAAGGAGAAGACAGTTGTCAGGCTTAAGTGAGACCAAGCAAGTGTTATATAAAAGCATAAAAACAAAACATCCAGGATACAAGCCTGGTCATCGTCATAGGTATTCAATTTCCAATTCTATACAGAATGCAGATAAGAAACAGAGATGAACAAGCTGTGCAATGAGTGCATACCTCTCACAAACTACGAGTTTCACAAGGGCTTGTTTCTGTTCTCCCGCTTCATAGTAAGAAAAATTTACCTGCAGATATAACAAGCTCAGTCAGATAATCCGACATAGATCAGAGCGTAACTGAGAGAATCCATAAGATACATGCCTCATAGCTTGCTAACCCTTCCTTTTCATCACACTGTTTGCTCCCACACAAAAACTGCCCTGACAGAAAGCAATTGCATTTACACTCAAAACTCCATATCATAGCTACTTCAAAAGAAATCAATGAAAGATAAGAGTTTGAACTAATATTAACCTTTCCCTGACATTACTTCCTTTTCCGTTCTCCATCTTAAACCCATCTACAAACATTCAAAATAATTCAATGAACAAAAGTAATACACGAATCCACGTGAGATGCAGTATTCGCACATCAGATATTACCTTACCAGTCTTGTATCTTGACATGTCAGCTATACAGTATCTTCAATCAGTCAAGGAAATAAACATGTATGTACTCATCCACAATCCAGTAACATAGTACATGTTGCATAACTAAAAGTTAACGTATCCGAAGCAGCAGCACTACGTTTTAAAGGATACTCTTTAAAAAGCTTATCATAATATCGCTTCACCAGTCTTTGCTCCCAAGAAGGGTTCGAATCATCTTCCTCAGAACGTATAAACCTTTGCAAGAGAAAACATACAACAAAGTGTTTAAAGAGATCAGAAGATACAAAAAAACACATAAACAAAGGCGAAGTAACAGATATATGCTAACATTGGTGAAAACGAAGTAAGATTCAGCAAGAAACTTGCAGATATATGCTAACATCTTAAACCTATAAACTTCCAAACACAAAACGTATTCAAGATTTGACCATACCGGTATCCTTCTCTGAGTGTGTCTTGATCGGTTTTAACCGGTAACTTGACTTCCACCGGCTTGTCCTTCCCATAGAAACGAACTGTAAGTAAAGTAAAAAATCAAGAGATGACTAATACAAAAACTTAACTTCATAAAAAAGTAGCTACTTCAGATAAAAATGAATTATCTTTACTAATTGAGACCAAGAGAATATGTTAGGCTGACTGTAGCCTCCTTCCTAGCTCAGAGGAGAAGACTGTTCATCAACCAAATTTTGATTTGGGACAAAATGGATTTGGATAAATAAAAAGCTCAATTATTTACCCTAAATTCCCAAATTTGTTTTGTCCCTAAAGCATTTAAACCTAAAAATCGAGCTACAAATCGAAAGACAAATAACAAGCGCATGAAAGAGAATCGTACCGTAGTCTTTCAAAAACTTCTTATGCCGTTCGTAAGCATTCAGTCCACGAATATGCGCTTGGTATTGCCTGCAGAGACGATTTGAGCAATTAAATTAACTAGAGATGAAGAACACAGAATCTCACGAATTCGAACACCGATTGAGATAGAGAACGAAGATTAACTGTTTCCGTTCTTCTCTGTCGTAGATTTCAGATCTGATAGTCGCCGAAGAAGTCATTGTCGCCGATGTCCGATGACACTAGTCGTAAACCTTTAGCTATATGAGACTCTTTCTCCGATTAGCTCCAATTGTCTCTTAATGGTTGGGCCGTGTGGTTGATAAATGTGGGCCTTTGTGCAGAAAAATTGGATATTAGGGAAATTGATTCTCTGCCTAATTCTCAATTGTTGTACAAACCAATTTGTACTCTGTATTTGTTGTATCGTAACCGTTATAAAAAAAAAAAAGAACCACCTGAGAACTATGGTTATCGTCGTCACAGCTATAAGATCTTCCTGCAAGAGCCTGCTGGTCTGTGATGATGTTATATAAAATCAACAGGTGGTCAGTTATCAATATAAGATAGCAAGTATTAAGCCAACTCAGCAATGTTGCCTCACAATTATCTTCCATAGTGTTATTAAAAAAGTTTGAAACCGTGTGGCCATAGACTAGTAGAGTAAAAGTTACTCAATCCAATTTCAATAACCATAATCGAAGCGTTCATATAATGGAAGCTTTATTATATTATTTAGTTTAGTTTATTACAAAGGAAAAGTCCTGGAAGTATGATTAGTGAATACACACACCTTTTCGAATTGAAAGTTGGCAACATGATACGTAAAGCAGCTACATTCATATTTGATATTTCAATAATCAAAATCGCAATTTCAGCACGTTTCGATATAAAAAAAAAAAAAAATCATTTTAGAAAGACTGAATTGTGAATCATAACTTTTAAAATCTTTTGACATGAGACTGAATTGATCTATTTAAAGGGGAAAGAGACTCAAGACAGAAAAGAAAAACACAAAACAACCTTAAAAACAACAAAACCTCTCATTTGTTTCAAGCTACTTTCAAAGCCAGTCGCCATGAAGTTTGGCTGGAATCCTCTAAAGCCAAAAACTCCACAGCCAGGCCCCACCAAAGTTCCCCAGACTCCTCCGGGACCAGGCTCCGTCAAGCCTATGAAGCCACCAGGCACTGTCAAGCAACAAGAGTTGCCAGATGATCCGCCTGAGAGCTTTAAATGGTTGCCTTCGCAAGATACTCCAGTTCCCGACGCTGGAAAGCTTCCCCCTGGTGCTCCAGGCACTGGAAAGCCTCCCCCAGGTGCTCCAGTCACCGAAAGCACCGAAAAGCGTTCACCGCTCAAGGCAGCTCTGGATTTCTTCAGTAAAATTATTTGAGCTCTCAAAATCTATATATGTGGGTGTGTATTCCCTCCTTTGCTTAATGATCTACATGTTTTTATTGCTGTTAAGTCTTAGTTTCCATAATAAGCAGTTTTATATGATTGTATTTGTAGTTTGCATGATTTTACCACGAAAATACATGTAAGGTAAAGTGAAGAAATCACTGATGACTGAGTGATGTTCTTTTGCTGGATCTCATTATTTTCGTAATACAAATCTTAACTAAGTATGTTTTCGTTTTTTCCATTTCAAATACCATAAACTTCCCATTAATCACCAAGTCTCCAAAAGGTTTATAGCTGCAATCTTCTCCCAATTGATCAGAAATATTCATCAAAAGAGACTTGAATAGTCTTCGACAATTTTCTTAGTAAGACCATTGATTTTAGAGTCATACATGCTTGAATGTCATTTTAACATTTTAAGTTCATCTTAGAGCCCAAGTAGAATCTTCTGCATTCTCGTTACCGATTGAAATTAACTGGAGAGGATCATGAAGAAGCTTGAGGTTGAGGATGAAGTACAACAAGAGAGCACTAAAGAAGGATTCGTGAGAAATCAAGGAGAAGCAAAGGATGAAGAACATATTTAAAAAATCTGGACAGAAACAGACCATAACCAACACCCAAACTTTATGAAAAAACCTAATAGAACAATGCATATGAAGTATAAGAAGACGATTACTGTGAACTTATTCATATAAGGAATCTATCTAAAAGGCCAAAGACTATATAATTATACAGATCAAACACAGCCTTGTGCTATATCTTAGGTAGGTCACGTAAATACCTTCTCCAATGTGTTTGTGTTTGTGTAGTAACCTTCTTCTCTCACTTCTTTTTCTACCTTGAATATCTCAGTATCATCGAATCCTGTACACAACATTCATTTCAATACTCTTTTTCAAACCTCAAATCATAGAAAAAAACATAAAAGATTATGTGAGGATGCTAAATCTTTTTTACCTGAACCCAAGTCATCAGTTTCATCCACCATCGGTACTATTTGTGTCCTCTTAACACACTCGAGCAACTTCCAGTCCGAGCTTCCATTGTCTTCTACAAAAGCTTGGTCTCTAGAAACCCATTCTTTAAGAACATCCATCCTGCTGTGTGACGATAACGGGTCTAATGTGTCATCACCGCTCTCGGGGTCCCTAGAGAACACAGAGAACCATTAGTTCCATTCTTTTTACTACCCTGAAAACAAAGATTTTGGTTCGCAACGGACACTTACAGTTGTTTAAGGCGCATGTTGTACTGAACAAATGCAAGATCGCTGAGCCGCTTCTGCTCAATGGAGTTCTTCGATTGGTAAATCTGTTCGACCGGTATCTGGTTTCTCCTGCAGCCAACTGATGTACTGCACGTCTGGCTAAGAATGCGAATCGCAAAACGTGAGAGGTTCAAGCAGCTTTCTCCATATGTTGACCACCACTCAGCTAAGAAACCAAGCATGTGAAGAGAGAGTGAGAGAGAGTCAAGTAATATAACAACAATTACACAAGAAAATCAAAGGAGAGTGAAACCGTTACCAGGAAGCATTGTGTCCCGAGCTCTGATTGCCAAGTTCCTCCCAAACACACCAACAGCATTCTTGTAAAAGTTCAACTCCTTGACGACCTTCTCTTGAGTGTTGTCCATGTCAGGAACCAAACGCTCGATGCAGTCAAGCACCGCTGCACTGATCTCACTACGCATCTCTTCGTTGGCGTTGTAGAAGAACTTAGGGTTAAGAAAGAAACCAGCGGCGTGCATAGGAACGTGCTGCTGCTGCTCCCACCATTGATCTATGATCCTCCAGTATACTACGTAATCCTCCTTGTTAACCAGATGTGTCTTGATTGCTTCCTTTGCACGGTACATCGCTGCATAGACATACCCCATTGCAGGCCTCTTCTCCGAACAAACTATCCTCAGAAGCCGCAAGAGAGGAGCTGCTAAATGGTTTACCAAAGTTACCGAGTTCCAAAAGGCTTCATCAGTGATAACATTCATCGCCAATCCGCTTGCTTCTTTCGAGTATGAACATTCGTTCCACTCTGGAGAACTAACCATCGCCTGCAGATTGAACTGAAGCTCGGCTATTCTACACAACGTAGCAAAATCAGTGGCGGAGTTGCTAAATCCTGGTTGAAGGATATCATTGCCGGAAGTAAACTTCTTCATCAGATTCAAAACATCACTACGATTGTAAACGAATCTTGTGACAGCTCGAGCCTGATCGATGGTTTCGCTTATCCAGCCAAGTTTCCCAAACTCTTCAAGAATCTTATCTATGCAATGTGCAGCGCAAGGAACCCAGTACAGAGAAGGATACTCAAGCATCAACTGTTTCCCAGCGGCAGCATAGTGATCATCGCATTTCGTAATCACTTGAACAACATTTGCAGGTCCAATTTCTTCAACCACCTCCCTAAAGATCACCAACAAACTATCAGATGCGTCCACGGATCTCAAAAAGACAACCTTTTCAGGGCAGTAAACCAAAAAGTTTAGAACTTTAAGGCCTTTCTCATTGCTCTGTTCCTCAACCAAAACAGAGCACCCTGTCCTCTTCCACACCGCTCTGCATTCATCAATCTCTTTCGTCGTTTCGTCTACACAATTCTTCAGTATCCAACCTCGAAGGTCATCATTCGTGGGAGCAGACACTCCGAATCCTCCAGAGGCGATGGCGTCGATCATCGGCTGGAAATTAGCTGAATTCACCGCATCGAAGTCAGCTCCAATACCAAACAAAAACCTCCCTACCGCCATGTGAACAGTAGTCTCCCTATCTCTAAAAGACGGATGCACAATGTTCTTCACGCTACTAATCGCCACAGGAATCAGATTATCCATGTCATGATTGTTGCTCGCACCACCATTCTCAAAACCACTCTTCTTGCTCCTGTAAGTTCTCTGCTTCGTTCTGCTACCGGACATGCCCTCGTTATGCACAACGACATCCATACTTCCCGGAGATACAAAACCGTTGTCCACGTCGGACTGAATCAGCATCGTTTCTCCTTCGCAAGGAGGTAAAGCAGCTAGAGCCAGAGGCTCTGAGCTGTCGTCATGGCGTCTCTTCCTCTGGCGTCTCACGGTTCCATCGATAGCTTGCTGCAAGTGGAGCCTAACGTCTCCAGGGACTTGGTCGCAGATGGTGCCTTGTCCCTTTTTACCGGCGAGATGTTCCTTGACCCTGGTTATGCCGCCGCCTTTGAACATTTTCCGGCAGTAGAGACACTTCATCTGTACCCGATCACCGTATTTGTAGACTAGACAGTGCTTCCACGCACTGTCTTGCTTCTGAGGTGTAAGTGCCACAGGTTCTAACTCGGACTCCATTCACTCTTTTGCTTTGGTGAGCCTGATTGAAATTGATAAAAAAAGGCAGAGACTTTGTTAATGGGAATAACAATCTCAGGAACTACATCGCTGATTCAAGCTCACTCGAGCGATATTAAGCTGAATTTGTGAAAAAAAATAACCAAAAAAACGAGATTTTTGTGAAGATGACAAAGCTCGAACCACAACAATCCTAAATTCTCCATGAACGTTTTCAAGAAACAATGCTCTCGAATTCCGAATGATTTCCACAATATACAACGGATTCTTAAGAACAAACACACGCAAATTCTAAAACCTCATGCATCAAATTAAACAATTTCGATAGGGAACCAGAAAAAACCAGTAAATTTCAAAGTCTGGTATTGTAAGAAACAAATAATTGTGTACAAGGAGACGGAGAAAAAAAGAACCTTGGTTTGCAGGTTGTGGCCGGTTACGGAGAATCGGTTTCGTAAAAAGCTGGTAAAATTCCGGTACACTGGCTTCGGTTCCGGAGAAGAGGAAGCTGGAATCAGAGGGAGACGAAGATTCCGGGGAACCGGCGGAGAGAAGATGGAGGGAAGCAATGTCGGGGAAATTGAGCCGGCTCGTTAGGGTTCGATGAGGAAATAGGTTGGGCAGCTTTTCTGGTTTATGGCCTATACCTATAAATCGGCAAATACTACCCAACGCTTTATTTTTTGCTAAAATTTGTTTTTTCCGTTTTTTTTTTTATTCCCTTAAATTACTTAAACGTCGTCGTTCGATTTTAGGGCGTTTTATGATAAAACGACGTCGCTTCGACTTTTCGAATCTTCTCCGATTAACGACGTCGATCGTCGTCGTCCTCTCACTCTCTCTGATCTGGTTGCTTCAACGTAGAACGGTACAGAGTTTGAAGAAGAGGTTTCTGTTTGCTCAAATCTCCAAGAAACTTCTGTGACAGCATCAGAGGTACGATATAGTTGAATCCACTTGGCAAGACATTTGCTTTCGCTGAGGCATTTCGTCGAACAGTTGGACGACGACTTCCATATAAAATTATCTCTCGTGTTTGTCTCCAGGATCAAAGGCCATGGATAAGCTTCTTGAGAATCATCAGTTTGCGACGCATGCCATAGCAGCCTCGGCCTCTGTCTCGCTAGGAACTGCTCTCGCTTACCCTCTGGATACCATCAAAACTATAATTCAGGTTTCTTCCGTCTTCTTCTTCTTCTTCACCAAATTTTATCTTCTGTAAGTCTTCGATTCTCTGGGGATTGATTTCGGCATTGAACTTCAGGTTGGTTCAGGACCCAGTAAGAAATTGAGCTCCTTTCAGGTCGTCAACAGAGTTTTCCGCTTCTCTGGCTATTCAGGTTCGCAAATTACTCTCTCCATTTCAGTCATTTTCTAATGTTGCATCAGCCAAATTGATGTATTGTTGACTGTTCGTGCCTTCTGGATACAAATGCAGGTCTGTACAGTGGTCTTGGATCGTTAACCTTAGGAAGAATTTCAGGCGTTGGTGCAAGGTTTGGAGTCTATGAGATTCTCACAGCTTTCTACAAAGGTATTACGCAGATTCATGTCTCTCCTTTGAATCTAACGTCGATGATTCAAGATGAAGTTTTGCATTTAGCTCTTCTATCACGTAACTCAAGATCACCATTTCAATTAGACTAGATAGCAAATTGACATTGTTCATAGATAATGTTAAAGAGTTTTGGTATTCAGATCCATTCATGGCTTTTACACTAAAAGTTGATTCCTTTCATCATTGCGACGATACATGACGGTAGTTTGAGTTTTGGTAGCTGAATTTACTTGAGTAAAACTTTTGGTCTTGAAGAATCTGAAGAGTAGTTTCTATATGAATTCCTTTTTCCAGATGGTCGACATGATAACTATGTGGAAACCAGTGAAGCTTTTCTAGCTGGAGTGATAGGAGGTGCAGCGGAAACAGTGATGACATCTCCATTTGAGCTAATCAAAGTCCGAAACCAAGTGGCTGCTGCGTCACGTGCACCAAGTGCTACCGCTGCTGCAGAAACCTTACCTGTTTCACCCATGATAACAAAGCTGCTAAGAAGATACACACTCGATGTAAAGTCACTGACGCAAACAGTCAGTCTCTTATCCGTATTAAACCATAAACACCCAAACATGACAGCCGCGTTGCAAGAGTACCCATGGATGATGACTGGAACAGGAAACCCTCCATCAGCCATGGATGTTAAGAGACCGCTCGATGTTGCGTCGCTTGAAGGATGGAGAGCTTTATGGAGGAATCTACGTTCGGGTCTTATCAGGGATTGTGTTTACGGAGGAGTGTTCTTCTCGACGTGGCAGTTTCTTCATGAGGCAATGCGCGGTTGGAAAGCTGTTGGAATGAATCCTCTGCCCAGGTACTTTAAACTCTCAATCCACTTGGAACTTGAATTTGATTCCAAAGTATAGTGTAGTGATTGTTTAATGACTGTTTCCCAAAACTTGTTGAATTCAGTTCCGAGGAAGAAATCGGACCATTATCTCCGGTAGGTGTTAGCCTGGCTGCTGGGTTTTCTGGTGCAGTTGCAGCTGCAGCATCTCATAGCTTTGACACAGCAAGAACACGAGCACAGTGTGTAATATTGCCAAAGGTAGAAGAATAATATCCATTCATGGCTTTCTCATTTATGTTACAAAGCTATGTTTCTTATTTTTGCGTTCTGTTTGGTTTGTATTGGATTTTGACAGTATACAGCAAAAGAGAGGAAGTTTCTGAAATGGAACAAACCGGGAAAGAGATTAGAGAGATGGACAGGGATCCATCCTACAGACAGAAACCTCTTGTTCAGAGGAATTGGGGTAAGGATGGCTCGAAGCTCTCTTGCATCGACTGTTATCGTTGGAAGCTATTACTTAGCTGTTGATTTATTGGTTCCAAAGTGATAAGAAAGAAGTCAAAGAACAGAGTTTACACAATCTAAGAATCCGCCTTGAATCAATCATAAATCAATTTTGCTTATGTTTGTTAAGCAGTCGAAGGAGAAACATTTGTGTCTATGTCTCGATTGTACTCTTTTAAGTTTTGTTGTATCAGTGACATTAACAGTCAAATAACTACAGAAATAATTGGTTGTATACGTGATCACGAGGCTCTCTTCTCATGATTTTCATAAGGAATACATTTTGCTGGTCTATTGACACTTCAATTTAAGGAGAATAAGGAATACATACATATTGCTGGTCTACAGACAGAAACCAGAGGAATTGGGGTAATCGTTTGAAGCTATTACTTAGCTGTTGATTTATTGGTTCCCAAGTGAAAAAAGACGGACGACACACTCTTATACTACATCAATTTTGTGGAGAAACATTTGTGTTCATGTCTCAATTCTACTCTTTTGAGTTTTGTTGTATCTGTGCCATTAACAGAAATAATTGGTTGTTTACGTAACGTAATCTCCCGATGCTATCTTCTCAGGATTATCAAATGGAACACATTATGCTAGTTCCAATGACACCTCAATTTAAGGAGATTAAAGCATACACTACAGGTACTTAATATAGACATCTAGAACGATGCTGCAGGAACATTATGGTATCAAAACCGTGAGGATTATTACATAACAAATTTCCTGTACTTAACACGAAATTATTGCCACATTCAACTTAATCGCAAAACCTAAGCAGGTAATTCAATGGAAACAAAAAAGGTAAATCAAAATGTAGTAGGGAATAGGGAATTAAATTGACAAAATCCAGAAATCGAAATTTCAACAAAACGTCTTACAAAATCCAGAAAAGGATCCACATTTTTCATCTTAGGGAACCCTAAGAAACTAAAAGATTAACGCTGTAAAATTCCGATACGAGAAGCAACAAAAAACAAAAAGCTCAAAATGTTCCTTTGGAAAAAGACGAATTCCTCAGAACCTGAGCTTGGTGAAGAACCATCTGTTCTTTCCGGTCTTGAAACGTTCCTCGAGCTTGGCCTTGGCGTCCTTGAGAGCTGCGACCTTTTTGTCCTTTGACGTAAGAGCGTCGAGGGTCGCGACTTCCTTGAGATCCACGTCGAGTGTGTAACGAGTAGGCATCAGATGCTGGTAGTTAACGAGCTTGATGAAACACTTAACCCTAGATTTTTTCGCCGTCTTCTTCGCCGAGTCCTTGCGGATGACCTTGCTCGGGTACTTCTTCAGTCCGGCGACGAGGCAGTGGCCGTAAGGACGGTCGCGGCTTCCGTCGTCGAACGATTTGATGATCACGGCCTTCTTCCCGGCGTAGCGACCTTGAAGGAGGATCACCGCTTTGTTCTGCTTCAGGAACTTAACCATGGCTGCTTCTTCACTTCTAGATCTCTCTCTCTCTATCGCCGCTATAAACCCTAAAGTGGCTTATCAAATGAAATTTTTAACTTATATCAGCGATGTAGAAACTCAATGGAGGAGGAGAGGAACAAAACAAAACCCTAGCCACATTGGAAAGGCCTACTATTGGGCCATTAAGTTTGATCTATTGTAACTTGGGCCTTGAAAAATTGTCACTATCTAAATTGTGGAACATAACTTTAAAAAGTAAAGCAAATATATTTTCTCACTTGCTTTTGGGGTTTGGTTCTATGAGTGTTTGGCTTAAACTATACAAATACTAAGCGATTCAACGGATATGATTGTATATATTATCGTTGATTGACAGACAACACGATACAGTACAGAGTACACAATATAAATGATAACGAGTCTAATGGTCAAACTCATAACTAGCAGAAGCAAATTACTGCCAAACACCATGTTCAAGCAGATGGTAACCATTTTCAATTCTTCTTGCATCATTTGATAAAAAAAATTACAATTCTGTCTAGCTGATGAGTCATAATTTTACATATATATATATAGCAGGTTTGACTTTCTAGCCACTATAAGACTATAATCTATAATTGTGGATTGTGAATTTCATATTTGAGTTGTGTATAAAAAATGAAAACCGACCGGATGAAATCCATTCACATGGACCATATAACTTGTCTCTGCAGTTATTTATTTTAAAATTCGTCTACATCTGCATTTATTTTCTAGTTTATTTTTTGTTAATCTCCATGCATATTAAATTTTTTATAACCAACTTATTTGCTTGAGTTTCAAACAAATTTTTTATAATCTCCATCACATCACATAAAGTTAAAGGAAAAGAAAAAAATCACTGTAATCATATAAAAAAAGTCTATTATTAGTACTATATAGTTAGTGGATGTGGTAATGGACCTATATTAACCAAAAAACAAAACTCAAAGTTATCCAAAACAGTTACATATGTAAACGCTAACGTTGCTGACAAAAAAATAAATCAATAACGTTAAAAATAGAGAGGAGACATATAAATCCACTTGGCTTCTAAATTTAAATCTCAAGTACAATATTATTTCTCATATCATGTTGATTGAAAGTTAAGATACCAAAATCAGAAAGTAGAATAATTTACTTTTGATATTTGTCAACACTCCACACTAACCGAAGAGAATTTCTTTTCTCAAAAAGAAACAAGTATTTTTTATTTGACAAAATGAAAAATCAATTACTGTGTGAATTATATTAATTTAAAATAAATAAAGAAGAGAAAGTAAAAAGGAAAAAAAAAAAAGAGTGAGGATTTGTTCGATTTCGGGCAAGGGCATGTGTCAATGTTACGCACAGAACAAATAAAAGACTTCCTTTCTCTCTCTCTCTCTTCTCTATAATCTCTTCTCGTCTTCTTTAGGGAGAGAGAAGTTTCTTCCGATGAGCTTTTTTATTTTCTTGCCTTAAATTTCCCCGGAAAATCGGGAATCATAGGAATTTGAGCTGATTTTACTTTCCTTTTCTTTTCTTGGTTTAGCTGTCATCTTGTTGACAAGTAGTCCCAGCTCTAGGGCTAATAGTCGGTAGAGAAGAAGATTCGATTGTTATTCGCTGTTGTTTTTGTTAAGCGATCTTTCGTGCGATCCGTGCTTGAGACCTCTCTAGTTGATGATCATGGAGAGATCTGATTCTCGAGATTTCTACAACTTAGCTCGGGCTTCCTCTGGTCAGTTCCTTTCTTTTTCCTCTCTCTATTTGTGTGTTTGTTTACTTGTTCGTCCTCTAAACTATTTTTGCTTCTAATCCAAGATGCGAATATTTTATTTTCTTCATTTCTGCTTGATATGTTCTGTTTGATTTGCGTGTCTTGTTGGATTTCTCTTCTGTGATTTGATTTTGTAACCTAGAAGATTCATGAAATGATTGAAATGCTTATAGATTTGTTCTTAATTCTTTGGTCAACTAATTGTCTTTGTTGTCGTTATACAGATAATAATAAGAATAGTACACTCTTTGACGCATCTCAATACGAGTTCTTTGGTCAAAGTCTTGAAGAAGTGGAATTGGGAGGTCTTGACGATGATGCTGCTGTTCTTGGACAAGCCGATGATGATGAGTATCACCTGTTTGATAGAAGAGAGGTACAGTATAATGTGTGTTTTCAATTGAACTAAGTTTCTTGGCAATATGTATGAGATTAATGGCGTTTATAGATGAAAGAAAGATGCTAAAAACATCTAATTGTCTGGTTTCAGGGTGCTGGTTTAGGATCATTATCTGAGATGGATGATCTTGCCACAACTTTTGCAAAGGTTAGTATATTGTTCTTTACTACAATCTTGACGTTAAGAGGCTAATTACCATTTTATTGTCTCTCTTTAGTCTTTTTTCCCATGGCAAGAAAATGAAAACTTAGTAGGTTCTTACTTCTTCTCTACTATGCTAATTTCATTGTTGGCTTGAATTTGTGCAGCTGAACAGAGTTGTGACCGGGCCCAAACACCCTGGAGTAATTGGTGACAGAGGCTCAGGCTCCTTTTCAAGGGAAAGTGAGTTCAGTTTCTTAACTCTTTTTTTCTAAGTATACAAGAAATCTGCACATTCTGTTTAAAGATTCTGTTTCTAACAACTTTTTTTATTTAAATCTCAAGGTTCTACTGCTACAGACTGGACACAGGACAACGAGTTCACAAGCTGGTTAGACCAGCACATGATCGAAGAACAAGCTCAAGAAGCCACCTGGCCTTCACAGCCACAACCATCTCCCAACTCAAAATCTCTCCACAGAACATCCTCCTATCCTCAGCAGCAAACTCAGCTGCAGCACTACAGCAGCGAACCAATCATCGTACCGGAATCATCCTTCACCTCTTTCCCTTCCCCTGGCAACAGATCTCAACAGTCTTCACCGAGCCACATCCACCGCGCTCCATCTCTCCCCGGTAGCAGCCAGCTGAACTTCTCAGCTCCCAACGCGTCTCCCACATTCCATCTCTCAGGATTGTCTCCACACGGACCTCCTCATTACGGTAGTAGTAGTAGTAATCTTGCTAGATACGCCTCTTGCGGTCCCACTCTCGGTAACAACATGTTGCAGCCTCCTCAGTGGCTCACCGACCCGGGACTTCTCCACGGGGATCTGTTACACAGTCTCGTGCAACAGCAACAGCAACAGATGCAACTGCCTCCTCGAAACGGTTTCACTTCGCAACAGCTGATCTCTCTTCAGCAAAGACAATCTCTAGCTCATCTTGCCGCGTTACAGTCTCAGCTCTACAGCTCCTATCCTTCTCCATCGTCGCATAAAGCTCCTTTCGGAGTCGGCGAAGTGAGAGAGCACAAACACAAGTCGTCTCACAGAAGCCGAAAGAGCAGAAGCGGCATCTCTCAACAGCCCTCGTCGGATCTATCCAGCCAGAAGAGCGAGACCGGGTTAGGGTTTAGGTCAAAGTACATGACGTCAGAAGAGATAGAGAGCATTCTCAAGATGCAGCATTCCAATTCACACAGCAGCGACCCTTACGTCAATGACTATTACCACCAAGCTCGCCTCGCCGCGAAGAAGTCAGGAGGTAGAGCAGCGCCGCCGCAGTTCTATCCTTCTCATTTGAAGGACCACCAGTCTCGGTCGTCTCGTAACGGTTCTGATCAGCAGCAGCCGCAAGTCCACGTGGACGCTCTCGGAAAGATCACGCTTCCTTCTATTTGCCGGCCGCGAGCTCTTCTCGAGGTCGACTCTCCTCCTACCTCCGGTGACGGAAGATCCGAGAAGCATCTCGAGCAAGAGCCTCTAGTTGCAGCGAGAGTCACCATTGAAGACGCGTTCGGAGTTCTCATCGACATCGTCGACATCGACAGGACTCTCCAGTTCAACCGGCCGCAAGACGGTGGCGCTCAGCTGAGGAGGAAACGGCAGATCTTGCTAGAAGGATTAGCGACTTCGCTTCAACTCGTTGATCCGTTTAACAAAACCGGGCAGAGAACCGGGTTAACCGCCAAGGACGATATCGTCTTTCTACGCATAGCCACGCTTCCGAAAGGTCGGAAGCTGCTGACGAAGTATCTCCAGCTTCTTGTTCCGGGGAGTGAGATCGCTCGTGTTGTCTGCATGGCTGTGTTTCGCCACCTCAGGTTTTTATTCGGTGGCTTGCCGTCGGATAGCGTTGCGGCGGAGACGATAGCTAGTCTCGCGAAAGCGGTTACGGTTTGCGTTCAAGCGATGGATCTCCGAGCGCTGAGTGCTTGTCTTGCGGCTGTTGTTTGTTCTTCGGAGCAGCCGCCTCTCCGTCCGATAGGAAGCCCTTCTGGAGACGGAGCTTCGGTTGTGTTGGTGTCTCTTCTTGAGAGAGCTGCTGAAGTGGTGGTGGTTCCACGTGGGAACTCGAATGATGGGCTGTGGAGAGCGTCGTTCGATGAGTTCTTCTCGCTGCTTACGAAATATTGCAGGAGTAAGTATGAGACGATCCATGGTCAGAATCAGGATAATGAAGCTGATGTGTTGGAGATGGCTATAAAGAGGGAAATGCCTGCTGAGCTTTTGCGTGCGAGTCTACGTCATACTAATGAAGACCAGCGGAATTTTTTGCTGAACTTTGGTCGGAAAGCGTCGCCGGTTAGCGAGTCAACGAGCCGTGTGAGGGGTGGTCAGATTAACTCTGAGTCTGTGAGGGGTTAAGTTGAAACATGATAAGAAACAAACTGTTGAGATCATGGACACGGGGAAGCTTGTGAGAGTAGCTGGTGTAGGATTCGTTCACAGGGCTCAGGTGATGAATGTTCTTTTTGTTTTTAGATTGTGCGTTTTAGTTCTTTTTTAAAAGTCCTCCTAATGGTGGAGAAACGGTGGTTGAAAAGCTGGGGAAAGAAAACTGAAAATGGGAGTTGGTAAAACCGGAAAAAGGTGAATTTCCGGGGAGCTGTATTTTTTGTTGCTCTGTGACGGAAACTCCTATGAGTAGGACTCTATAGGGTTTTAGGAGTTTGGAAGGAGACTAGTGTTTGTGACTCTGTATAGACTGATGGTGATTGCTGAGGTTGATGGTGATGGTGATGATGATGGTGATGGTGATGATGATGGTTCGATGTGCTGTGCGGTAGCTAAGAGGCCTTTTGTTGTCTTAAGCTTCTTGTGGGTTAAGTTTGAAGTATGTGCATTGTAACAATAAGGAACGCAGTCTTTTTTTTTAAATGTTGTTTCTATATTGGATAATGTCTTTGATATTTACTCAAATGTATACACTTCTGTTATTTTTGAAGAAGTTGCAAACTTGTAATGTATTACGCTTACGCGAATCCTGTTGTCACTAGAGTGAAAGATCCAGTGAGTCGCTTTCAATATTTTTAGACGTTTTGAAAAACAATTATGAATCTGCAAAACCGTTTTTTTTTTCTTCTAAATTTTAGTTTATTTTGTATGAAGACTAAGTTGTTAAACCAACGAATAAAAAGGGAACAACTAGTTGGACACTGGAGTAAATGATAATTTTAGAAAGTAGACCGAAAGATGAGGTTGGAGAAAATGGTAGGAATGACTCATAAATTAATACACGTGAAGCATGTCTTTTTCAAGTTTGCAACTGACTCACATGCCACGTGCACTTTAGCTGTCTCCTTCTTCTTTTCTCTTTTAATACTAGAAAAAGACATGTTCCAACCTAGATATGAGGTGTTTCCTTTTGACTTGATGTAGTAAGTACATGTACTTTTTACCGAACACGACTCCTTTTACTATTTGTCTATTTTCTCACAATCATTTCTCATAAATGTGTTTTGTATTTTGGTCACTCGTCAAAAGACTCGACACTAAAGTTGGGTGTACAGTAGCACTACGTAAAATTTGCAGTGACAATTTTATGCAAAAGACCCACGGCTTCAAGATTTCAATGGGACAAGAACCAGTAGAGATTAAATCAAACTAAGTAAGATTATTATTTTATATGATATAGATTATTTTATAATAAACAAATTTATTTCTATAGATTCATTCAACCTAACCGAACTATAGAAGGATAAATGTAAACTCATCTTAACTTACGGTCACAAGGGAACTTCATCATCATCTTCCATGGGATCTTCTCCGGACATGTTTTCTTCTACGTCGTCTGTTTCATTATCTACATAAGCCTGAGAACTCACTATTTGCCCGCTCAGGTCCTTGTGTTTCAAGCTACCTGCAAATTCAATTAGTATCTCAAATGTCAAAACTCAGTTTCCATTATAACAAAAGTGCTCAATAAGTATCTGAAAACTAAATATATATGGAGTAATGATTGAAGCCATTGAGATTATGATGAAAGATTTGTGAGTTTCGAGAGAGAAAGAGAAAGCAAAACTGATTGTTTATGTGTAGTCGTACCCATCCAGAAGTTGGAGCCGCGTGATGTTGTATGGAGAAGGGCCTTAACGTGAAACAGAAAACGCTCTAAAGATCTCTTTGTTGCTGGTATTTTGCTGGTGATGGCTGTTTGTTTCATACCCTAACATCCCAAAATCAAAACTCCGTTTGTCATTTCTTCCGTCTATGAGAAGAATATAAACAACGAAAACACAAAGCAGGTCGTCTCTGAAATTAACCTTGGCTTCAGAACATAGAGTCTGTAATGTTCTTGTAGCCTTTTGGAGATCTTTCACCTAATTCACATGTCAGTAATGGAAATTTCAGTTGACTGAGAGAGATTGTATACAGTAAAGTACAATGCGTGTAATACAACTTACCAACTGGATGACTAGTCCCTTATAATCTTGAAAATGTGATTCCAAGAAATCAAAAACTGCACATTTTAGAAATCAAAATTAATAAGCCAGCTAATCAGGCAATTGAACTCTTGTGACAAGAAGATGGAAGAGATTATACCTTTTAAAAATGAGTCCACATACTTCCCACCATACTTGATAGCCATTCCGTGGATTGTAACCTGTTTAAGTCATTGTAACACCACCATCATTACGTTAATCTGCCTCTGTATACAGCTTACAAGCGCAAATTGTTATACTCATGATTACATAGGAACAGAAGTTGGTCACCTTTTCATGAGTTCGGCACAAGTTGACCAAAGACACTACCACATTCACAGTCTTATGAATGCTTTTCAAGTGTGCATCAGTAGTTTCAGATTGACAGTTTTGTCGTTTCTCTGAGCTAACAGTCTTCACCTGGAAGAACACAAAGATGGGAAATTTTACTGTATAGCAGAGAAGATTGTAATAAGTGAATAACCGGAGAAAAAGAAGATGGATTACTGACCAATTTGTTGAGAATTGCAAGGTTTTCTTCATGCTGCATAAAGCACCAGTGAAAGTGAGGCTACTAGTCTTCGGCGGATTAGTCAGTGAAATAAATATGAGATAGCTAAGAATTTGTCTTACCAATGTCTTGTACCATCCTCTGAAAGTCGCTGAGCATAGGGTAGGGAATTCATGATCACCAGCATCATCTTCACCTGTTGACTTGGATAGAGAGGCCTAACGCAAGAAAATTCCAGTGACAGTGTGCAAATGAGAAATTATGTGATATTGTTTTTCACATGAAATACGTGAGGTACTTAATTAACCATCTCCAGACTTTTTAAGCTTTCATATTGCATCAAACTCTATTTACAGTGTTGCACAGAGAAATATTTTTTTCCATTTACCTGAGGCAAAATGGTACAAGCAAGCTCATCGAGCAAATCAGATGTGGATCCACTGGTCTCCAGGTATATTCGCAATATGTTCTGTACCATTTCACCCTGCAGACACCAAAAGCAATACACATTGAGAATATTGAGCTCACTAGTCACTACCGTAAAATGTGCTAACCGTTAAAATTGACACTAAATGGACATACTTTGTTCTTCAAACCCTTATTATCAGTACTTTCATCGATCCAATTATGTCTGAGAAGTTTCTCAGCAGATGTTCCCAGTTTGGCATGCAGACTAGGTACAAGACCCCGAGTAGGGCCTGAAGATCTCTTTTTAGTAGCTTCTTCAGATACCTTACCAAGATCTTTTTGTGCAGAGGTCACCACTAACTGTAGAGTGAGTAGACACTCGAAGGCCAGATCAAAGGAGAAGGAACAAGCTGCATCAACATTTGATAATCGCAATCGGAGTTAGAATAAGATAGCATATGACAGGGAATGCCCGGTAATCGAAGAAAATAAATTTACCATTGTTTAAAATATCTTCAAAGAAACAATAAACGCCAATATACAAGTACTCCTTTGTCCCAGTTGAAGGGAAAGGTTGAAAGTCTGGGAGGCTAGCAACTGGAATTTCAGTGGCCTGGAAGGCTTCAAGAAGATTCAGCAGCAGTAGTTTGTCTGTTTCAAACCCAGGGAGAGTCAATATCTGTGACCCAAGAAGAAAGAACATAAAAGTTTTGAAATTAACATACGTGTATCTAAGTTAATACTTAAAGGAAATAAACGTAGCCACTATATCACAAAATTGGCACTGGATAAGAATAAACTACCTTGCTGAAACAGTATAAAACTTCTTTGCACACCATTGTGTAGACCAGAGATCCGGAAACCACAATATTGGATGTGTTCGGATTTCCTGCCCCAGTAAACTCATCTCGCCAACTAGTTTGAGAAGTTTCATCACCTATTAATATTTAAGTCAGATTAAAACAAGCTAAATCAATACTTTGATTCACAGCAGATTGATCAACTCCAGTTATCATACCTTTTATCAGCAAGGAAACTGCTATATTCAAATGTGTCCTGAGGCTTTGAAAAAGTCCTTTTATTTGACTGACAAGTTCTACCAATTTGAACCTCCCGAAACTACCTGAAGCGCTTCCACGTTTGAAAGGAAGTTGTTTAACAGGAGGAACAAGACAATCCAGCTTGGAATGAAGATCTTGTAAGAGATACAAATACAAGGGTAGCTAGCATAGAAAATAACAAGATGTTAAGTTTCACTTCTCATATTTAAAAAAAGGTGTCAAATAATACTTTGGTATTTATCTCGGTACCTCAGCTTTATATTCAGGGCTGCTTATGTCTTGGCTCCGCACCTATATGTGAAAGCTTATAAATTAACCATTCTCTTAACAAGTCTTTATAACACTCATGATTGTTATGCGCATAAATATCCTAAAACTTCTAAGGAAAATGTAATAAAAACTCAGGCTAACATTAATGTGAATTCTTGGTGTGACGACTACGCGCAAAAGACCAGTAGATACAAATATTCAGCCAGATTAAAAGATGTCAGTAGGCTGACCTTCGGAAATTTTAAGATGGTGAGGCATTGAGGAAGAAGAGGCCTGAACTTGAATCTTTGGGCTTCAAGTGCCGCGGAAACTTGAGGAATCTTTACACATAGAAATTCATCATCAGAACAAGTTGCATGCATAGACCCTGATGCTGTCCCGCCATCCAAAGATGAAAGGGAAGGATTTTCATGTTGCGGTGTTTGACTCGTAACTACTCCTGCTTTCTTGAATGCGTCCAAAATAGTTGGCTGTCGCAGCTTTTCATCCACAGTCGAGTTCTTTGATTTTTTCAGGTTTCCCTTGCCTTGGGAGGGATCATCTTGTAGCTTCCTCTTCTCATTTTTCCTCTCTGGATGCCCTACGTGAGTATGTTGGCCTGTGGCTGAATAAGGGTGTAGCTCTGGTAAAGACAAAGGAGATAGCGTAATCAAATTGCCCAGTAAGCTTTCCAAGAATCTGATTCACCAAGTATTATTAATTTCGTCAGAACTTCATAAAGAATAGGCTTTATGACTCTCAAAACATCTTAATCAAGAGTGTAAAACACAGCAGCACATTACTAAGCTTGAGCGTTGACAAAGTAGCATGAACCTACACTAGATTTCTGAGTCGCTTCAGAAGCTTTGTTGTTACATCCTTTTCTGTAGCCTGACTAATGCAGCCAAACCTTTCATCAAGTTGGGAACTGAAGGCGTTAAGCTGAAAAAGGTAACAAAATAACATGTAAAACAATTACGGCATAGCAATGATGCAGATATACAAGGTCATGCAACTCACGAGTTCTCGTATCCAGTTTGCAGCATAATATATTGATACAGAGAGGATTTCTCTCTGCTTCTTTGTCAGAGATTCCCATCCAGCTGCAGCAAAGTACTGTGATATTTGACAAGATAAACAAAAATATTAGCAAAGATGGACAGTACAGACAGGGATAAAATGGAAAAGAGATGATCCTAATACTATAATGTTCAGGATGCATGATTCGAACTTCAACCTTTCTAAAACAGGCCTAACAATTTTGTTCTGCAGTCATGCAGAAGTAAGAAAACAAATCAAAACTTGTCAGTAAATGGAAACAGAGCGATATGTTTCTTGACGAAAACCAAGCTTATCACCTTGGAAGAAGGAAGGTGTAAAGGGCATCCGAGCAGAGCATCGATCCCAGCAAGGGATCCATCATTTGTCAACCTCTCTACCTGAAAGTAAACAAAAAAAATATCAGGTTTGTTCTGGTTTCTTGAATAGCATCCCAGTTTTAAGTGAAGGAATATCTTACAGTTGATAGCAAAAGAAAATTTGAAGGAAGAATCTGCAGACAACAAGACCTGCAGGTAATTTGAGCCCTAATTCCGTCAGAAGTTGTCAGAGATAACTCTTTACAGTAATGAAAAGCAGGGGAAATCTAATAAAACCAACTCTGAGGATGAAGATGCCAGGGCCAGAATGTTCACACAGATTGGTGAAATACTACCATCCAAGTTCATCCAAAGATCCCCTAAACAATGATAGAAAAAATGAAGCTCAGTCCCCAGAAGAGATTCAATTAATCTAAGTAGATCCATTTTCAGTAAATAACTACACCTTCTAGTCCAGAGTATGAACCCTTATCAACCATATTTCCGCTGTCAAGATCAGCTAAAAATAGCGACTCAAATTCTCCTAGATGCTTCCCGATCCTGAAAAGCAGTATAAAATATCATCCGCGTGAGGGCTATAAAGACAGTGTAGCCTTGGAAACTACTAAACAACCTAGCAGAAAAAGTGACTGAAATCTTCACCACTCCATAATCTCTGGCTTAAGTAATTTGTGGCTGAGAATTGTAGCGAATTCATCATAGAAAATAATCAGGGCTAAGTTAGACTGTCTGCAAGAGTCTACAGATGTCTTTAGAAGCTCCAAAATCTCCCCACAATCTGAAACCTGCTAATAGACAAATTTGATGGATATCAGAAACAAAACAAAAACAACTCAACAAGAGTTCCACTTGAAATTCGAGGTTGGAAGATAATATCAGTCAACTTCTAAGCATTGATGGATGTTACCTGAGATGATGAACAGTCAGGAGAACTATTTGTATCCCCAAGTGATGAAACAATCCTTAGAGTTCCAACTAACCCCATCTTTTTGTACTTGAGGTCTGGATGGCTGACCTGCCGGTATAAAAACCAGATTATAAATGAGCTGCCATCACCTATTGTCCTCTGAGAAAGGAGGCGAGATTATCCACACTACCTGCTTCCTTACTATCATCATAAGTTCATTTGAAATTGAAGATCGAAAAGAATCAGGACTTGCACGAGCTGATAGTGCGAGGAGGCTGAAAACCTCATAGACCTGCAATTATGTTCACTTTATATACAATATATTGTCATACCAAGCACTTTATAACGATGAATTCTCACCTTATGCAAATTTTCAACAGAAAATCCCTCTAAGTAGTCCAGAATACCTATACGACACAAGAAAGTTAGAAACTACAAAAAGAAAACCATATTATCAGTATGTACAAACAAGTTCCAGAAATACCATTTATGTGGGAAGAAAAGGGAAGGAGTTGCTGTGCATATTTTTTCGCCAGAGCTGTCATCATCTCTAGAACTGAACTGACCTCAAATTTGTTATCAGATCCCACATGTGTCACTAGGGCACCTAGTATCTGCAACAAATTCGACTCAGGACCAAAATGGACTAATTATGATAAAAACTTTTATACTAGTAGATGAGATGTTAGCATTTTCTTACCTCTTGTCTTGAATAATTGTCAGCAAACCCTTCAAAAAGGAGAGTATAGATATGAGAGCCAATTTCCCTTGCCTTTTCTTCTTTGCATGACAAGAGATGCTCAGCCAAAGAAAGGAACGATGCAAAATTGTCCTAGAACAAATGAGTGAGACAGGTTAATGTTGCAAATGAATATTCCCACATTTTGCAGGAATCAGACACCTCTCAAAAGTGTTATGAAGATCACCTGCACAAACTCTTTGTTCCCACGTATACATTGATCAAGCAAGGCTTCTTGTATGCATCCATCAACCACTTTCTTCTTAAATATCTTCTCGATGCTCTTCCGGATGGGATCCCCATTCATGTACATAAGAATAAGCAGCCATACATCGATCACCTTGAAATCCCGAGGTTTCTCCAGACTATTCAGCTCCTTTATAATTTCTTGGCAGAGTATCTATAAACAGAAAATAAATGTGATTACAGATAATGGCAAACATTCATAAACAACTAAAATGAAACCAACTTACATTCTTAAATCGAAGGCTTGATCTTAAAGCATGGAGAATAGAACCTTCTGTGTTATACGCGGTTACTTTTCCTTTGAGTTTATTTTGAGAAGCACAAGGCTGTGACATTCCGGTGAATTTCAACTGTTCGCGTATCTGAGAGATTATTCTTCTAACATTTGCTGGATTAGCAGCAAGAAGCAAAAACCTAAGTAGATACGGCATGTGCTCTGCGTCTATTGTTCTAATACATGATATTGCTACTGTAATCGCCTTTAAGAAAAGGAAAAAACTAAAATTAGCATTTCCTCAGTACCAATGTACAATGCAAAAACTTAAAATCAATGATGAAGCAGAAACACTCACCTGTTCTTGCAATTGGTCATCTAAATTGAGATTGGAGAAAGAATCGAGCACTGGAACAACAACAGCAGAATCCTCCTGAAGCATCTTTTCTAGAGAATCAATCACAGCGCGGCAGTTGTGATCCCCAATAATCTCTGGCAACGATCCAATGATTTCCTTCTTTAAGTGCAGAGGACAGATTGATAGAACTTGCATCAACTTATCGGTGAACACATCGGGATTAACAATGAAGTCCAGCCACCGGAAATGGTTGATAATAAGGCGAGCAACATCCTCCTCCAGGGAACATCCGGTAACGACGTCAAAGTACTCCGGAAGCTTCTCGAGTAGCATTTCCTGGAGGTCAAGTTGAATCGGAGATACAAGCAGGAGATTTCTGACTAATGTCTCGTCTCTCTTTGTTGTTGAAGAAGATGAAAGCACTCTACAATAGATATGAACAAGCCGGATTACGGAGTGAATATCAGTTTTAAATTCGCAATTCGAGTGAAATTACTGACCTACGAAGATTACTCGGAGACTGAATGTACGATGAAAACCCAGCTATGAAAATTGAGCGAAGAGCACTGAATTTCTCTCTCTCGCCGGAATTGGCGGAGCAAGACGACAAGCGACTGGTGAGATTGCGGCGGAAAGCGTGGAGATCGGAGGGAAGACATGGCGGACCGTACGGGTTCATCAGTGTGCACCCAGCTTCCGCCAGAACCGCAGTCATCTTCTCCACCGCGTCGGGTTCAACAGATTCCTTTCCCGGCTGGGAAAATTTGGGAGGCGGCGCTGCTGAGGACGACGACGGAGGCGGAACTGCTGAGGACGACGATGGAGGCGGTGGAGGCTTTTTGCGAGAGAGAAACACCATTTTTCCCGGTGACGGTGAGCGAGCGATCGATTTACTCCCAATTCGCCGATTGATTCTCCGATTTACAATCTACCGACGAAATTTGATTTTCAAAATGTTTTAGCCCTGAAAAAGCGAGCGCCAAAATTTTAACAAGGAAGCGCGACTGTCCTCCTCACATGACACGCAATCTGTCGGCGAAAAAGAAAAACGGCACGGTGTGTAACCAATTACACAGAACATAAAAACTATTTGCCGTTTACCCTTAAATCACACATAAACTACACGCATTGCAGTTGCATCCATACAAAAAGACTCCTGTGGTATTATTATACAAGACTACATTGCACAAATGTTATGACACTTTGCAAGTCTTGGCAAGAGGTTCACAGCCTTCATAGACCTCCAAACCAGACTGATCAAGCTGGTGTTCCTCAAAGCAAGCGCAACGTTTGCTCATCGAACCAGTTATTGCTATCTCCAAAGGTCTTTGTACCAATCTCGGCACCCCAACATCACACCAAACCTGCAGAAATAGCTTCTCCTTTAGTATCTTATGCTTTTAAATGCCACCAAAGATTCACATCCACATTCTAATTCTCCCTTTTAAACCGAGTTGATAGAGAAGGTAACAAGAGTTTTGTATACCTCTCCACCTTCATCTTGACTCCATCGTGAGTTGCAATTCGTTTGCTTGGCTTCTTCAACCTTTTGTTTCTCCATGAGTTGTGCACCTCTGGAGGCTTTTGCTTCAACTCCTTTCAGGTGCTTAGTTGGATTCCCTTGGCTATCGTAGTACCGCCCAACAAGCTTCCCAACAGGACTGTCATCACAGATTAAAAGCTGAGGACCAAAGTTATATGATCACAAATTCTCAGTTTGTAAAATGCATCTAATTTTTCTATTGTGTTAATGAAACATATAACTTACGTGTAGGTCCTGGTGTAGAAACCTCGCCAGTCGACAATGCTCTTAACCTGCGGAGAAGATATCTTTGTCAAGCCACATCAAACATGTAACAACTGCACCACACAACAGTGAACTAGTTCACTATGAAGAAACAAGCACATCTGGTGGCATAAATGCAAAATCAAAGACTACTTTAAGACATTTCCATAAGTTTGGTTGACAAACTATGTGGAGCTAAAAAGGCATTACCTCACTGCTAGATAACCCACGTAACGAATCTGTAAGTCCATCTCCTGCACGAGAAAAGAACCATAGCACAAAAATGAGAAATTTCAACAGATTTTCAGAGGCTTGCTGTATAATCTTCTGGCAATAGGTAAACAAAGTTTGAATGATTAGACTTCTTTATGCATATGGTTAAACTTGCTTATAACATATGCAAGACAAGATTAAATATCTTTTTTTTCCGGCGATATCATTTCAATTTCTATAAGAAACCAAGAGAAACAAAGATCTATATCCTAGAAAATGAACTTAAAACTCTTCGTCACCCACTGAAGAATGTGGCAAACAAATCGTACCTGTAAAGTTCCCAGATACAAATGCACGAGAAGCGTCTCTGAGCCAAAGCATGACATGGAGAAACTTCTCATCAGTGTGAGAACCATTCAAGATTAATACAACGAGAATCTCTCCACACATAATTGACAACGAAAAAACAAACCTTCCAGCAAAATGGTTGTAACTTCCTCCACTACCGTAATGAGATTTTCCTTTCGTCACATCAAACACAGATCTGTATCCCATATGCAAAGATATACTCTCAGCTTACAAGTTTTTTAGGAATGTGCACATATGTGTTACTAGACAGTAGACTTACCCTAGAATCCCTAAGAGTATAGGTAGCGTTTCATCAGTGCCATTGTACAATGCCAATTCTTCAGCAGAGTATAACCTATTTTGATACTTGAAGACCAAAATAAAACATCTATCAAAAATGGAAAGCGCCAAACAAATTGAATCTCAGAACATATATCAAATCAAAGGCATGACACTTCATAACATTTGTTCTCTATTTCAGTTGTGATTAAACTCAGTCCCAAATCATGAGCAAGTATCAAACATTCAGTCAAAAAGTGCATAAGCTAACTACTTCATCTGCGAGTAAGAAATGGATATTTTTTTCAGAACGGGGAAGATATAGTTGAAGAAGAGAAGTGAGTACTACTTGGTGTTGTGGAGACTTGAGGGAAGATCTGAAGTAGACAGCGACGAGAACGACGATCAACGTGACCCCGAAAAACGGAGATAACAAAAATCTCCTAATCGAAACCATCGATTTGAATTGGATTTGTGTTCGTATGCGAAAAATCCAAAATCCAGCGAATTTTCTTCCCGTAATAACAGGAGCCTACTACCACTTTTAGGATGTGAGGACGTAATCTTGAGAAAACAAAGTTATCGGTGCTAAATTGCAAAACTTGAAAATACACAGGCTCTACTTAGTGATTTAACTAGAAATTGATCCGTTTTTGTTTTAACCGTCTCGATTTATTGACGGTTCAACCAAAACCGGGTTCTAGAAGTTTTATAAATACAGGGAGCGAGCAAATTGAAATTTTTGTCGAACCATTTCGCATCTTCCTCACTCAGGTACCCTTTTTTCTCAGGAAATTGTACTGTAAATTTTCCAGGAAATCTTATTCCTTATAAATCAAGTAAATCTGAACGTACTTCTGGAAATCTGACTAAATGCCTCGATAAATCAAGTTTCTTGGTCAGTTTCTTTGAGCCGCTCAACTTCGGGAGAGAATCGTTCGTTCTCGCTATATTTGGAGAAACTCAAGTTTACTTCTTTTTTTCCTCCTATTCTCAGGAAACATCGGAGATGACGAGTAAAGGCGAGGATTCAAATCTAAAAGGTGCGAAGATTCGGAAAGAAGACGTAAACAAAGTCGTAATGGACTTTCTTGTGACTCACGGATATCTACAAGCTGCTCAGAAATTCCAGAGCGAGTCTGAAACTAAGCGTATCCTCTTCTGAAATAGATAAACAAGTTTCTCAGATTCTTTCTAGTCTCAAGTTAGTTCCTTAATCAAGAAAACAGCAGAAGTAGATCTTGCAAGTGAGAGCATCATTGATCGAGTTGCTGTTACCAATGCTGTTCAATGCGGAAATGTCGTGGATGCTATTGAGAAACTGAATGCTTTAAACCCTGAGGTACAAGTAATTTTCTTTCTCTTTTTCCCTTTGAATCTAGGTTTCAATTAGACGTATGTGATGCGAGAAAGAGATAATCTCATATCCGGTAATCGAAGAAGAACATAAATCATATTTTAGGATCTTTCTTTAGGAATGTTTTTGTTATGTAAATGTTATTCAACATGTGATGCTTCTTTGCTATTCTTGAACTGGTCACAGTTTCTAACCACAAGAGGGCTTGGTGTTACTTCTTGCAGATACTGAGAGAGAATCCAGAGCTAGATTTTCGTCTTCAAGACCAAACTTTTATTGAACTAATCCGCCATGGGAAATTACAAGAGGCCATTGAGTTTGGAAAGGAAATGGCTAAACCGATAAAAGATAATAGAGTAAGTCTTATAACAACTGTTTACTGATAAGTAGTAATCTCTCATTGCCTCTGATTTCATCATCTTCATTGGAGTTTTCATCCATTTACGTTTCTGTCATTATATGTGTGAAGCATCTGTAGAAACATCATCTCAATCTTATGCAGGAGTTAATGAGAGAATTTGGAAAAACTGTTTATCTACTAAGTCAGAGAATGCGTGATAAGGATGCCTATACCGGCCGGTTTAAAGAGAAGCTTGACATTTCAAACCGGTTTAAGCTAGCTAGCCAAGTAAATGCAGTCATTCTTACAAGCCAGAATCTTGAAAAAGGTAACATAGTTTCTCAATGTATCATTCAAACTCAAGGTAACTTGGTTGATGATGATGATGATGATGATTTTGTGTTTGTGAAATGTAACAGATCCCAAACTTGAAAGCTTGTTGAAGATGAAGGTCTGGTTTCAGGAAGAACTGAATGAAACAAGATTTGTGCCTGCGTAAATGACTTTTCTACTGCCAAGATCGAGAACCCATCGGAGTGAGATGATTCTTGGACCCTTTTAGCAACTATGATGAAAGTAGAACTGATCATTAGCAAGAACACATGTGGGGACCATTGCTTCTTCATGCATATTGTAAAGTTTAATTGAGATGATGTTTCTGTTATGATAAACAGGGATGATGTGAGAATAGTGTTTTCAAATGAGAAGAAACAAGTACAGTTTTTTTAGTAGCTGTGATCTTGTAAAAATAACATGCATCAGTGAAACTAAAAGTTGACAGTGAAAGTGGAAGATGAAGAGAAATAAAGAGTGACAGCTTAAACTAGTTTGAATTTAAATAAGCAATAACAAATTAGCAATTAATGCTTTTTTTCTGTCTTGAGTTCTTTCTTCCCACAAAACCTTATCTATGGAATCACAGGAACAAAATAAACCTCCTGCAATCTCATAAATCCCAATTCCTCCCAACTTTTTCTTCTATACAGAACAATCCCACCGGAACAATGTGTCAACAAGGTGAAGATGAGAAGAAAAAGCAGCCATTTTTTGTTGTTGTTGTTGATCCTTCTTCTCAAATCTGGATAGTGTTTGTTTTGATGTTGGAGCATAAGTAAGAAAGATTGTGGGGGTTTTGCTTTAAGACTATCTATCAATCTGAATGAGTCAAAGCAGCAATTTCTTTCTCTTGCTTCTTCTTCAAGTGTCTCTGGGCAGTTGCTGTCACAATCTTGACGAAGAAGTTAAGTAGCATGAGCCACACTATCCCATTCCAGATCGATGCAAACGAAAAGTCCCATCTTTTCACCTATTCCAACAGAATCAAAACCACACAAATTGGAGTTTGAGTTTCAGGAAGATGCTAGTGAAAACTTCAAAGTTTAGAACTTTCCAATAAATGGAAAATGCGTAGAGATTCTGAAGACTGTTCTGTAGTGTTTACCTTGATATGAGATGGAACAGGAGGTGAAGCATCAATATACTTCTCTTTCATGGTGTGGAGTTTGGCTATGAGTCCAGGCAACACAGATGCCAAACCAGGGACATGGCTAAGTATCCAGATCATCTCGTTCTCCATCCAATCGAGCAGTTGGTTATTACAAACGCAGATGATAAATATTGTCTTCACAACAAAAAGCAGAGAAAGTAAGAATGTTATAAGCCATTTAGGTGTTAGAACAGGTCCAGAGAGTAAAAACTGAATCTATGTGACAAAAGGTTCCACACCTGTATGTGAGTTTTGATTATCGCCTTTCCGATTAAAGTAGCCAGAAAGAATTCCCAAAAAGGAACTCCAAATTGTCCACACATTATTCCAGCGAGGTCAAACAGAGGATTTGGGACCTGCACTCAGAAACAGAAACAGTGTCTAATGGTAAATACTAATTCTAAGTGTTGACTGTTGACCATTATGGTTGCCAATAACATTATAATCAATTGCTAATGCAGATGGAGAAAGCTAAGGTTGGAGAATGTATACTAACCGAAGCAAGAACCAAGACAGTGAAGAAATTCAAGTGCTGCGAATGAGTCAATAGCCAACGCTTAATCCGGTTTAGGTAAGTCGCCATAAATCCGCTACCCTCAGATGAGGAACCATCTAGCTCTTCTATTTCATCTACTGTGCTCCCAGAAATACTAGCTGGAAAAAGCCAAACACACAATAAACAACCAAACCTATGCACACACATTGGTGAAATATAGAGAAGCAACAAATGAACAAACCTGCCCTTGAGATGAAATATGGAGGAAGCTCCCCAAGAGCTGTCCCTATACCCCATAAGATGGCTTCCAATTGGACTTGTGGCAATATGCTGGTAAGAGGAACACGAGATCCAGCAGCTGATATCATCAAAGGAGGACCGAACTCCGAACAAGATTTGTCGAGCCATGAAGGAACTCGTTTCAACTGTATTGTATCATATGGTGCAGACTTAAGATCAACCCGGCCACATAGCGTTGCTTTTAGAGTGAACAAAGCAATGTGTGGACCCAAATAGAGAACAAAAGTGTGAAGACCAGATCCTAACAGAAGCAAAAGCATAGAATTATAATAAGAATAATGTAGTTTGTGTGACAAATATTGACAAGCAAGTTTAGTGTGACTAACCAAGACCAATTGAAGATGCTACACCAAGTGCTATCCACCATAAGCTATATCTGACATACTCTAAAACTTCTTCCACATGCTGTTAACAAAAGATACATCTTCTTTCAAAATTCGGAGAAAGTCTAGATTTTTAATGAAGAAAGTCGAAAAAGAGTTTACCTTTCCATGAGGTCCATCAACAGTGACAAGCAAAACTCCAAATCCCACTAACAAAGAGGTTATAAGCATGAACCAACCTCCATGAGCAAGTAGATACGATATCGATCGCTTAATGTACTGAATCGTCGCCTCAACAAACAACTTCAATGTATTCAAAGGTTGTGTCGTCAGTGTTAGATTCTCTACTTCCTTCTCTTGCTTCTCCCGCAGAGCTACAAAGTTTTAAAAACAGAGATTCTATTAATAGTCCCAAACAATGTCAAAGTTTCCTTATTTCAGCTAATCTAGCTCTATGTTTCGCTTATATACTCAAATGGAAGTGTAAATCTATGATTTATCCAAATCGTTTCACATCGTAAGATAATCAAAATCCTTATTGATTCTAAACAAAGCAAATCAAAGCGCAAAATTTAGATCTCGAAGTCATTAAAAGCCTCTAATCCCTAATTTTCTTCCCTGATTTGAACGAACAATTGATCCAAAAACGACCTAAAAAGCATAAGAAGAAGAAGAAGAAGAAGAAACTCGCCTGAGATCGCAACATCGGAAGAAGAGCTCGCTACGGTGGCCGATCCCATCTCTCTGTGTGTAATCAATTCGCGTCGTCAACTACTAATTAACTATATATCTCAACAGGATAAAGAAGGGATTTTTAACATAGATTCGAATGATTTGAGGTATATTAAGACATGGGTTTGGTCGAATTCGATATGGGCACTATAGAGAGAAAATAGAGATTGCTTGCAAACAAAAAGAGACGGATTTGATTATTTAATTTTAAAAAGGTTTCTTTTGTAACGTGACGTGTGGGCTTTGGTTGAGATAAACCTACAAAACACAGATGACAGAGGATCTGGACTTTTGTTGTAGAAGACAGATATGGAATGGAATCAAATAGAAATCGAAAGCAAACGCACACGAAACGTTAACAGAGTTCGCAAGTCGCAAATTTTCTTCTTCGTCTGCGTGTGTCAGCGATTCGGTCACTGGGCTTTCTTTAAATAAAGCCCATTACGATTTTGGTCCGACCGGTTGAACCGGAAAATTTGATTTTTTCATTGACCGTTACGTTACAATTATCCGATCAGAGGATCGTTGTCGAAAAAATTAGAAGGTCGAAGAGTAAATCCACCGTGAAGAGTTGGCATAACCGGAAAGTCTTCTTGGTACGGAATGTGATGAAACCCAACATTGTACCACATCACTATGTCTTTGTTCTCTATCTCTCTGTTTCTGTAAACAAACAAAAAAACAAGACCCGCAAATTTATTCCACTTTCGTTAATTTCAAAATAAGTGATTAAATTTTTGTTGGAAATTTAGTTACCTGTTACTCCAAACAGCTAAACCATCATCGCCACGGCTCCTATCACTGTAAAACCCACCGGCCCATCGCTCTGACCGGTTATAAGCGGTCACCCAAACCGGGTACTTTGTATAAGACGCTCTTATCTCCGGGTAATCATCCTCCGCCAAAAGCGAAGTGACCGGTAAATGTTCCGGTATCAGCCGGTAACCAACCGTATTTCCTATTTTAGTCTTTTTTTGTGGGTTGACTATTAACAGCTCAACCGGTTCTGAGCCGAGTCGAACTCTACCGTCAACTTCAGTTTTCGCCGTCTCTTTCACGACCGTCCAATAACTCTTCCTCGGTGAAGACGTTTTGTTATTAACGTCCGTTACTCTAACTGTTTTTAGTTTGGCTTTCACTAACGAATTGCTGTTACCGTCAATGTCGAGATCTAAGTAGTACGTTAGGTAATGGTCGTGGTTAATGGCGATGGTGTTTTTCGCCACCAGTGTCCCGTACACGCTCTCTGTTATCTGCTCATTCGAAGTGTACGACGTCGCTTTAACCTCCAAAACTCCGGTCAAATCCACCTGTATAGTAAAATGGATCGTAAAATTGTCCAAAAACTATTCAAAACGTAATTGTTTGCTTGTATTGCTGTTTCTAGTTGTCATGCAAGTTTTTTTTAATTGATTGCAAAACACTCTAGAACTATATTTTAATATCGATATATTGAAAATGAATATATAGTTAAGTGTAAGAGATACATTAAGTAGAGATTACCCCAACTCTGATGGCTCCATTCTTTTTAAATTCCCAATCAACGATGTAATCATAGTTTCCGAGTGTTGCCACCATTCTAACCACTAAACTTATATCAGCTTCACCACTAGTTATCTGCAAAACAGTTAATTAAACAACTAATCAATTGAAAAACATTATTAAAAAAAAATGTGATTTAGAAGTTTGATTACCACTTGTCCTGGAACATTAATCTCGGTGTGTCTATAAGCAGCACCATAACCGTTTTTCTCAAAGACACACATCACATTGCTCATCCTCTGAGCTGTCCCATCAGGTCCCGCCACGTGCCCATCCAAAAACGCCGCGTTTTGCGGGCAGTCGACGAGTGGCTGAAGATTAACGGCGGATATCCCGAAACCAAACTCTCCGATGTCCATGAACGTACGATAGTACCATTCGTAGGTTGGGTCCATGTACGGGACAAAAGTCTCTGACACGTGTCCTCTGTACATTACTCGTCTGAACCTTTTGGTTCTCGGATCAAGAACCGAAGCCGTCGATATGGTGACTCCCGCTCTAGCGCTAAATCCGACGTGGAATTTCCAGTTACCCCATTTGATTTTATTGCCGAGAATCTTGAAGCCTGTGTCGGAGACGTTGCAAGAGAAAGGGAAAGGTTTGTGTTTGGTCCGAAAGTCGTTACCTTCTGAATCAGGGAGAGGCTTTCGGAATCTATCAGAGTATTTCACGACTCGCATTGAGTCAACGTCTATGGTTATTGTGATTCCTTCGATGGGTCTTGTGAAAACGTTGACCGATCCGTCTCTGTAAAAGCATGAGGCTTTGACCTCACGTCTCGTGATGGTTTCTCCGTACCAACCGACGGTGAAAGGGATGCAAGAAACCTCGGAGATGTTTAGGGACCGATCAAGAATCGATTTCATGAAGGAAGGGTAAGTCAGAGGAAGCTTGCTTGCTTTGAAAAGCTCTACGAATGTGAACGGAGGGAAGCCATGGCCTGTGTAGATGCGGGAAGATGCGATTTTGCTAGTGGTTAGGTCGACGATGAGCTCGTGGGTTTGGCCACCGGCTCGAACCACTACGAGTGAGCGACGACGTGGTGGGTGTGGTGGTTTCTTGGAGGATAGCCATTGGAGGACGTGGCTCTTGTTCGGTTCTTCGAGATCGAGGTAGTGAAATGTGAGGTCTTTGAGGTTGCCTAGCTGAGATTTCTTGACGATGAAGCTTGTTTTATTGATTTCTTGAGGAGTTAAGGGATCGAGTGGGTGGAAATGGAGGCTGAAACTGAAAGCACATTGTAGGAGAAAGACGAGGGTTAATATTAGTGTCTTCATCGATGGAAAATTTTGTGGTCAAATTTGGTAGGTTAGACTGAAAGAAATTAAATTGATGGAGTTGTTATTGAAGAAGACGTCAACCATATACATTTATATGCATGCACCTAAATGTTTATAAATGTGTGAAGTCTATATGAATATAAACCAAAAATATAGTTCGACTTGGGAAGTCCAATGAGATTAGAATGATAAGAAACGTAAAGATGAAAAATAATCATCACGCGATATATTATAAACTCTTCCTTCTCCTGCAACGGGGCAACTTATTATGCATACGGTCGAATTGGATATATAATAATAACAATAAGCAAGTAAGGTGTTTTAGAAGTCATAACTTGAAGTATAAAGCAAGGATTATGCAAAAATGAGTACTAATCTAGTTATCATCCACTTGCGCACATAATGATGTATCAGGATCTCAAGTCCTGCGTTTGAACTTCGTTTACGTTACCTAAATTCTAGAACGCATACTATTCTGTTCCCCTTTTTTCTACGTATTCGTTTACTCTAGCAGGATTTTTGGTAAAACTATCAATGAAAACAAGTCAGAATAGTATAAAAGGTTAAGGCTAAAGCAAACGAGTTCATCATATCATAATATAGTACTGAATAATAATAGGTCTACGGTCTACCACATATTGTGGCCCACAATGGGTTAAGTTCTTAAATATTCTATTTGGTCGCATGACTCGATCGCATCATCACATTCACAAGGATGAGGAACATGGCTGGTTTGTAACCTTGGGAAGCCACTCCTTGTAGTAGTTTTGGCAATCCACATCAACATGAGAGAGAGCTCCAAGCGGCGTCACTGTAATCTGCGGTTTCAAAACAGCGTTTACCATCAAAGTTTGTATAACGTTGTAGAGATAAGTTAAGAGACCATATATGGGATTGAGATGCTTACAAATCCTTCTCGTAGGAAGTGAGAATCAGTCCCTTCTTCAACCACCACAGTCCTCAGCTATCAATCAAAAGAAACCAAGAGAATCAATATTATGTCTATAGCAGAAACAAAGGAAAGTAAGATGAGCAGAATAGTGGCGAATCATTTGATTATACCTCTCTCTTGAACAGACGGCTATCTTGTGACTTATGAGCAGATGTGTCGTTCTCTGAGACAACTCCTGAATCTGTTTCCATTGTCATTGTTGACAACATCTTTGGTCCTTGTGCTTCCTCCTCCACTTGCCTCCATCCCATTCTACCCAAGCTTTTGCCTTGGGTAGTTAGCTTGTAACCCTGCATTTGGTAAATAAAAGTAAATACATGTGAAACTCGTAGCAATGTAGTTAAAAAAGGTTCGGAGAGTTACCTTGTGGTTGGCTACATCAGTGGGCAAGTCAATGTTGATGAAGCAATTTTTGGGATGCGTCTTGTTCTTCACGGCAATGATAAGCCCGTTGACAATTGGGAGGCAAGCTTGTGCAGCAAGGACAAAATCATTGGCATCGATCTGTTTACGTTTCCTAGAGAGGCATCAAGGAGGAATAAATTAGAAGAAAAGGTTAGGATTGTGACACAAACAGAGAAGAAAATAGAATACATTTTAGGATAATTCAAGAGTTAGGAAGCAAATCTAACCAATCGTGGTCGTAGGAGATTGAGGCGGAAGCTACGTCATAAAGGAAGGCCTCACGAGCCCCAGCCACCGTTCCGGAATAAACTCTGCCACGAAAAATCAGAACAAACTTAAAGTCGCAAGGAAATAGGAAAAATCAGATTAACGGTAGACAGAGGAGGAAAATGTTCACATACATGTTATATCCGCAGTTGCTTCCCACGTTGATACCACTAAGAACCTGGACGGAGAAAACAAACATACATCACAATCTCCAGAAAAGACAATAGAAGTACATAAACCAACAAATCTTAGATGTCTCCTATATCTGTTGTTTAGACGCAAATCAAAATCTCTAAATAACTTTTCATTAGAAGCTTCTTATAGTGAGACTCACTAAGATCACTGTAACAATTCTCAGGACAATATAAGAGTTTATAACAATTAGAGACTAGATAAAACCAACAACAGTTCCTCAGATGTTTCCTATAGATTAAGCACAAGCAGCTACTGTCAAACAAACCAAAAGCTCTATTGCTCCATCATCTAAATCACTTTGCATGAGAAAATTTTCAACTTTATACAGAGACAGGACAGTATGGTTACCAGGTCAGGACGAGAAGGGAAAAGAGCTTTTGTTGTTAGACGCAAATCAAAATCTCTAAATTACTTTTCATTAGAAAGTTCTTATAATGACACTCACTAAGATCACTGTAACAATTTTCAGGACAATATAAGAGTATATAACAATTAGAGACTAAGATCACTGTAACAATTCTCAGGACAATATAAGAGTATATAACAATCAGAGACTAGATAACACCAACAACAATTCTCAGATGTTTCCTATAGATTAAGCACAAGCAGCTACTGTCAAACAAACTAAAAGCTCTATTGACTCATCATCTAAATCACTTTGCATGAGAAAGTTTTCAACTTTATATAGAGACACTCATGTTTCATGGACAGTATGGTTACCAGGTCAGGACGAGAAGGGAAGAGCGCTTCCGAAAGTCCCAGTCCCGTGCAATCCGCCGGGGTGCCTACAGAGAAAACAAAAATCCAAGAGGCAAACATTCAAACAACTCTCACATCATTTCAAACAAAAAAACCATAACAATTAACGAGATAAAGTGGTTCATAGCCAGTAATTCGATAAGAAATTCAAGGATTCGTCCATTTTTCTTCGAAATCATCAACAATCGAAACTTACCGGAGACAGCATAACCTGTGGCTCCCGCGATATCGACTCGCTTTGCGGAGAGCGGTCGGCTCCAGATTATACTGTGGCTAACGGCAGATTTCTCCCTGAAATTGGCATCAACAATTATCAAACACAGGAAAAAAGGAAGAAGAATCTGGTATAATATATGAATGGAAGCAAAGCCAGGCAATTAACATCGGAATAGCAGTTAATATCTCCGTACAATACAAATTACACGAATTAGAAATCGTTTCATGCACAATTAGCATACGAGAGACGATCGAATCTTATATCAAAGAGCCAAAAGAGATCATTTGTACAGTATAAGAGTAAGGCTTACGTGTCCGGCGCGCAGACCCAGACCTCGTAGAGGTTTGTTGCGACGAGAACGCGGACGAGGGCTTGCAAGCCCGGAGCGTCGATGCCGTCGTCGTTAGTCACCAGGACGATTGGGCGTTCACCGGGAATACAATCTCCACCGTCAATTTCCATCGTTTCTGATCGGAGAAAAGCCGTACGGGAGAGAAAGTGAGAGATGAGAGAGTGTGAGAAGAAAGAGAAAGCGTTTAGTAATTTTGTTAACAAACGAATCTTTAAATCAACGTTTTACCAAACATATAAGGGGGTAATTCCGTCTTTTGTAATAGAGCCATGTATTTCAAATGGAGTATTTTGATTTCTTTTTCTAAACATACCAATTTATTCCCTTAACTATAGTCAATCTATTAAATGTTTCCATAATTGATTCAGGTTATTGGTCAGCATGTTTCTTCTTGTAATTAGTAACTTGGTATAACCAAAGCTATTCATTAAATTTTTGATGTTCTCTTTCAACTGCGCATGGTATATGTTTATATTTCCAAAATTCTAGTCAATAAATCAAATGTTTTTTCTAATCGTTTTAGGTTTTGGTCAACATTTTTCCTCTTGTAATTAGTAACTTGGTAATAAGTTGGTATAAGTTCCAAAGCTTTTCATTAAATCTTGTTGTTTTTTTCCAACTGCGCTAATTAGTATATTTTTACACAATTTCCTTAATATTTCTAGTCAATGTGTTTTCTTAAATCAATTTAGCTATTGGTCAACATCTTTCTAATTCTAATAACTAGGAGGTGACCAGCGCTTCGCACGGGAATTTATATTATTGTGTTAATTTTATTGTTTTTTCGCAAATTTAATTTATTTATGTGGTTTATTATTGTTTCAAAAATATTACACATATTAATTAAAATAATTAGGGTTACGCAAATTTAACGTACCGTCTTGTCCCATTGTATCTCATTTCGTTCATTTTCATCATGTCCGTTCTTTCCCGTAATGTCTCTCATCTCCCGTCCTATCCCATTATGTTCCTTTCCATTATGTTATGTCTCATCATGTTTCTTCCATTTCTTCTCATCCCGTTCCCTAAATATAACTAAGGATAGGCAAAATTTCCGTATAGTCCCATCTCGTCCCATTTAGTTCCTTCTCATCTTGTCATGTTCTTTCCCTGTTCCGTTCCGTCCTGTCTGCCCTATCGAGTCTCATCATATTATGTTATGATTTTTTTTCCATTTTGTCGTGTCTCTGTCATGTCCCTAAATATAATTAGGGGTAGGTGAAATTTATGTCCCGTCCCTTCTCATCCCATTATGTCTCTTTCATCCCGTCCCGTCCATTCTCGTCTCATTCTGCTTTTTTCATCCCATCATGCATGTCTAATTTATCTGTCTCGTCCCGTCCAGTCTTATCCCGTTTCATTATGTTTCTTTCCGTCTTGTCTTGTCTCATCATGTTCCTTTCATTTTGTTTCTATTCAGTCTCTAAATATTATTTGAAATATGTAAAATTATGTGGTATCCTATTCTCTTATGTTCCTTTACATCCTATTTCGTTATTTAATATAAATAGGTTTGAAGCCCCGCGCAAGCGCGGGGTTGTTTGCAATAGTTTTCTGTTTAGTTTTATTTATACTTTATCTCACATCGCACATCCTTTTATTTTATTTTATTAGGATGTTAACACCCACTTTATCTCGAGTTTTCTATTTTAAACATTTTAGCATATTATAAATATTATGTTTGTTTACTTCTGTTAGACTATAAACATGCATATATATTTGACTCAATGTTAAAATTTGTAAGTATAATGTAAAATCGCATTTGCACCGAAATAAGATGAAAAAAAAATATATATACTTTTTTACATATCTACTTTGTTGTGGTAGCATATGAGTCTCATGACCATTGATTATTTTCTATTATGTTAGTTTTGTAAGTGAATATATTTTAAAACAAACATATCACAATCCTTAAAATTATGTTTTTCACTGCAATTAAATTTACATATAAAAACTCGACTTCTATTTGTTTAAAAAAGCAAACTCTAACTCTAATTTGTCATTGGTTTTTTATTTTTTAATTAATTTATATCCAACTTTTTAATTTGTAAACACATTATAACATTTAGAAATAGGATAAATCCTTTTAATAAAAAGGTAAATATATACCATTTCAAGTTAAATATATTTTTACTTATATTTAAACTTTTTCATAACTTTTAACATCAAATTATCACATAGTTTATATTAATTAAGTAATTTAGTTGTGTATTTTTCTTAGTTTTATTTATATTTAAAATATAAATATATATAAAGAAATATGAATAGTCATGTATTAAATATCTTAAAAACAATTTAATGAATTTTTTTGCTGATGTGGATAGCTTAGATGGAGAGAGCAACTCTCCTATTATATATAAGATGAGTAACCAAAGCTATTCATTAAATTTCAACTAGAAGTGTAATTCTGTAAAACTAGGTTTGAAGCCCCGCGCAAGCGCGGGGTTGTTTGCGATAGTTTTCTGTTTAGTTTTATCTATACTTGTTGATTTGAATTATGATGGTTTTGTATTAACTTTCATGTTTTTGTTTATGTTTTGAGTTAACCCAATCACTAACATTAAAAATATGAACAATTTATTTTATTTTATTAGGATGTTAACACTCCCACTTTATCTCGAGTTTTCTATTTCTAAAATTTTAGCATGTTATAAATATTATGTTTGTTTACTTCTGTTAGACTATAAACATGCATATGCATTGGACTCAACGTTAAAATTTGTAAGCATAATGTAAAATAGCATTTGGACCCGAAATAAGATGAAAAAAATAATATATATTTTTTTACATATCTACTTTGTTGTGGTAGCATATGAGCCTCATAACCATTGATTATTTTCTATTATGTTAGTTTTGTAAATATTAATTATATTTTGAGACAAACATATCACAATCCTTAAAATTTTCATGTTTTTCACTGCAATTAAATTTACATATAAAAACTCGACTTCTATTTTTTTTTAAAAAACTCTAACTCTAATTTCTCATTGGCTTTTTATTATCTTAATTAATTTATATTCAACTTTTTAACTTGTAAACACATTATAACATTTTGAAATAGGATAAATTCTTTTAATAAAAAGGTAAATATATACCATTTCAAGTTACATATATTTTTACTTATATTCAAACTTTTTGATAAATTTTAACATCAAGTTATCACATATTTTATATTAATTAAGTAATTTAGTTGTGTATTTTTCTTAGTTTTATTTATATTTAAAATATAAATATATGCAAAGAAATATGAAAAGTCATGTATTAAATATCTTAAAAACAATTTAATGAATTTTTTGTGCTGATGTGGACACTCTATATGGAGAGAGCAACTCCCTAATTATATATAAGATGTTTTAACATCAACATTATATGTTTTTTACCAACTTTTTTCCTTACATTTGGATTGCGGGAGAGAAAACATTTGGAGCTACCAATAAGTGAAGTAGTAACCACCTCTTGTTAGGAACAATTATATGTGCTGAGAACAAAAGTAGGAGAGTAGTACAAGAAGATTAAAAACTGCTAAATTGTTCTTTTCTTCTAATCAGGTAAAAAATTTCAGGTACATATAACAGTGAATTCAAATAATTGAAGACAAATATAAAACGCAAAATTTCAAAAATAAGTTGAAGAATAAATTATGTACATTTGACCGTACAATTTCATTTTTTTTTTATCATTTGTTCATTCATGCTTCCGTTGAAAAGAAAAAAAAACGAGGAAACATTGTTCATTTGAAAAAGAAAAAAAAACACGAATCTTAATTTCTAACATCTATGAAATAAACAAAACAAAAATTTCGAGTAAGTTAAGAACTGTTTTTCTAATTTATACTAACATATAGTGTGTATAACATTTCCAAAACCTTATATTTCAGTGAGTAATGATCTGCTATAAAGTTATGGCGTGTGGGCGAATTTTGAAAGAAAGACTCCATGAAGCGAATATTGAAAGAAAGGGACATTATCCGCTAACAAAGGGACATTATCCATCAATCATGAAGCGAATATTGAAAGAAAGACTTCCACGATTCACCGCAGAAGAATCATTACTCGTGAAAGGATCATATGAAATTATTGGAGTTGTACTACTATATTACACAGTTTGCAAGAAGTGTTCCACCTACTTCTCTTAATAGACTCAGTGTCATGACAGATTCACAAACTGAACTTACGAAATAGTAGCAGCAGCATCTATTAGGTTATTCCTCTTGAGAGGGGCGACGAAATAGTAGCAGCAGCATCTATTAGGTTATTCCTCTCCTGATCATTCTTTCTTTTAGTTTCACTCATATGATAATGCTAGTGTCAAGAAATATATACTTGTGCATGTTTTTGATATTGACCCTTGTGTTCAGATTTCATGGCAACCGTCTAGCTGAGATGCCGTTCATTGGAACTCGGCATGTTTACAGACACCAAGGGATGTGCCGCCGGCTTTTCAGCGTTATTGAATCGGTAAGTTCAAAATTGTTTTTATATGATACATTCATGTAGCGAAGTTAACATCTCAAAATCTCAAACTCAAATATGTTTTCTTTGGAAACTGTGCTGATTTGTTTTGTGGATCTCTATGTCTTATGATTTTGAAGGCTTTCCAACAACTCAAAGTCAAATTACTTGTTATCCCTGCAACGGCTGACTTTATCCATGTTTGGTTATCCAAATTCGGTTTTCATCGCGCCGATGATTCTCTGAAGAAAGAAATCCGGTCCATGAATCTACTAGCCTTTCCCGGCATTGATGTCTTACACAAGGAGCTTTTAGCACCCGAGTCTGCTTCTGACACAGGTTTAATTCTTCTCAAATCGATTTTATATCTTCTATGGTTTGTCGAATATCTTTACTTATTACGCTCACTGTTTTTGATAAAGACTGTGACCCATGCAATGAAGGCACTGGTACTGCGATCAAGACTAATGAAGTTTCTGTCGCGGAGACCACATCACCTTCGGGAGATAAACCGTTATCAGATGATGCAGCCGAACACCAACCGTACTTGGATATAAATTCCGCTCCATACGGCGATGGATGCCTTAAAATGCAAGAGACTGAGTTCAAGAACTTCAACCATTGCATCATCAGCAATGGAAAAGCACATGGACTGCAAAACTTCCTTTAATCCTTTTGATGAGGTGAAAGAAGAAGAAGAAGGTCATTTGATGGAGTCTCCTCCTCAACGAAACAGCAGCGAGATGGCTTTCTTAGATCACATTATCCGCTCTCCGGTGGACACTGGTGAAACGGCAAAGGGAGTTGTGTATGGTTCAGGCGATGATGACTGTCCGGCAACGGCAAGGCAATGAAAACAGAGTTTATATTGTGGTCTCTGTTTATTTAGCATTTTGGTGTACTACAGAGTACAAACCACCAGAATCGCTTTTTGAATAGGATTTGTTAATAATGTTTATATACATTTTATTGCAATATTAATAATGTTAATAATGTTCATTGGCCTCTAATGCAAAAAAGAGAAGGTATTTTAGAATACCTCATATGAATATTAATATGAAACGGAGGGAGGAGGATTAATTTATAGAGTTTGGTTCTGTTAACGCCTTGCTCGAGCATCGAACTTCTCTGGCGTTGCACGGAAGTGCCTTCGCAGACCAGTCAAGCTACAAGAGCTAAGGCGAAACAATTTCCGTTTAAAACTACTTATTAAGAGTTGTTGACTTTTGTAACGCATGTTACGACGTCGTTGTCGTTAAGAAATAGCAAATCAAGTGGTCTCTCTCTCTAGGACACTCACTGCGATGGAGCTCTCTTCTGCGCCGGCCATCTTCCGCCACTCCTCCTCCTCCGCTCAGCTTCTGAGACCAGCTGCTCTCGGCTCAATTCGTCAGCGAACACCAGTCGTCTCTTCTCTTACTCCTTCCCATCGATTCCTACGGATGGCGTCTCAATCTCAGCATCACGAATCTATCTCCTGCGCTTCCGTTCCCGGAGATAACGGTTTCCCGGCGATTACCTCCTCTCCGATCGATTCAGGTTACATATTTGACTATACAGCTGAGGCGAGTCTCTCATTTTGCACTATCAGTTTCCTGATTGCTAAGGTTTCATTTTTGTTGGCTGTTGGTTGATTCGATCAGCTCGAATAGGTGAAGTGAAGAGAGAAACAAAGGAAACGAATGTTTCAGTGAAGATTAATTTGGATGGCAATGGAGTCGCAGATAGCTCCACTGGGATTCCTTTCCTTGACCATATGCTAGATGTAACCATTTGCTTCTCTTACCAAATTTTAATTTTGGGACCGTTTATGACATTTTGCAAAAGCTTAATACAACAAATGAATCTGCTAAAAATGTTTTTGTTGCTTCTCTGGTTAGCAACTTGCTTCACATGGATTGTTCGATGTACACGTAAGAGCGACTGGTGACACTCACATCGATGATCATCATACGAATGAAGACGTTGCTCTCGCCATTGGAACCGTAAGTGAAACTTGTAACTTGATCGAGTAGTAGAATTTCTCTGGAAAGTTGTAATGTAAGTTGTTATGGTGTTTGTATATCATCAGGCTTTGTTAAAGGCACTTGGAGAGCGAAAAGGGATTAATCGTTTCGGAGATTTTACAGCTCCTCTTGATGAAGCACTTATACATGTGTCCTTGGTATATAATACAATCTCCCAACTTGCTATTGCATCTATCATCTATCTGTTTTGTTTTCTGTAAGTAATTTGAAGTATTTTTGGAAGTTTTACGTTGATGATGGATGAAAATGTGGCAGGATCTGTCTGGTAGACCATATCTTGGTTACAACTTAGAGATTCCAACACAGAGAGTAGGAACATACGACACTCAGGTCCATCTCCTTTCAGGTTTTTCTTCTTCTTATTCTTTGGTTTGTCAAATCAGTAAACGATTTCTTGTACCATTTTAGTTGGTGGAACACTTCTTCCAGTCATTGGTGAATACTTCTGGTATGACACTTCACATCCGACAGGTAATATTACGATTCCAATCTTTTCTTAAAGTAAACGAAGAAAAATTTGGTGTTTCAGTCTGTAATCTGCTGAAAAACCTTTTTTCTTGACAAGATTCTTCCTCGATTTGATTTGTTATATTGATAGCTTGCTGGTAAAAACTCTCATCACATAATCGAAGCGACCTTTAAGGCCTTTGCAAGGGCTCTCAGGCAAGCCACAGAGTCTGATCCACGTCGCGGTGGGACAATTCCGAGGTTTGATTTTTTTTTACTCATATATTAGGTGCAAAACTAATCTTATTTCAAAAATCTTATCTCAGACAACAAAAAAAGGCATACACATGTTACAACAGTATGAGAAAATCTTTTGTCATTCAAATTTGGAATTAATCCAATATAGCCAAATAGGGCTGGGAAGATATGTATATACGATGAGAAAACAAGCCTGACATTTTAAGTTTACTGAATATTTGCAGTTCGAAAGGAGTCTTGTCACGGTCGTAACAGGCGACTGAAAACGAAAACAAGAAACAGATTCAGCTTGTTTGTTCGGAGTTTATGAGCAGAACGAATCAGTTGTCTTATGTACAATATCAAACCTGAATCTTTCGTCTTTTGTGCATTTGCAGAAGTTGATGCATTTCATAAGGGAGTATTAAACATTTGATTATACAGTATGCATAAAATACTTCGAACCATTTGCCTTAATAAAAACGGATAATACATTAATCTTTTGTTGACAGTATTATATTATGTCACATACAGTTCACACATATTCATAACGTGGATTGTCTGAAATCGTATAATTATTGTTACTTTTAATAGTTCACGATAAAAGACAGAAGAAGTGTAATGAATTATGTATGTTTGGTTAATCATATCATGCATACAATTGTTTTACATATGATGATTAAAAAGCTTCAGATTATGCAGTGTCTTTAATCATGTTACTATATAACGTTAAGGCAAGACTCATGTCAAATCACTGTATACTCTGCACGACTTGAAATCATTATTATCCCTTCTGATTTTTGAATTTGATTTCCCTATATATGATCCCTTTTAAATTACATGTTCTCTCATTCCTGTTTCAATTTTCAAACATGCGTGAAGAAACCTAACCACGGTAGTTATAGACTTATACTGGTCCATTGCATATCTCCAACACAGTCACTTATTAATTTATTATTGATGTCAACTCCTTTACTAAAAAGTTATATATTTCGTCTCATTTGCTTTATTTTCTCTTGTTCCAATTTTTGTGCAAGTAAAGTGACATTTCAATTAGCTCATCCGTCTAAAAAGGTACATATATTTTCTCATAATAGATTAACTACTGTATATTAAATGACAAAAATATATGGTTCTTCCACATTTTTGAAATATCCGGTTATACGCAGAAACAAATTAAGTTATATGCAAAAGTATTATTAGTTTAGAAAGGTTTTGTGGTTGCTTAAACATGACGTCTGCTTAAACATGACGTCTAGAAACTCAAATATATTCGGTCCAAACGTGACAGTTTGGCCGAGTGGTCTAAGGCGGCAGAATCAGGCTCTGGTCCGAAAGGGCGTGGGTTCAAATCCCACAGCTGTCAATTGATTTTGTTATTTTGAAAATCCTTTTAACAAAAAAAAAATTATATTCGGTCAATGTCCTACGCGTGCCTATTTCATTACACCATTTACAAGGTTCCTCTCTTTGTACGTGCTTTCACTGTTTTTTTTTGTTAGAAAATCAAAATACATACACTAACAATTTCTTTTCTTTTACATCTTTTAAAATATACCGTTTCTACAAATTAAAATTGAGTATAAGTACTCTTTGCATAGATTTTAGCCGGCAATGCTTCACTGTCTTCTGACTCAACGCATGTGGTGGTCAGTGGGCCTGGCCTAGTGATGTTAATATGGGCCTTAAGCCCGCGGGTCTAAACGGGTTCTGTATAACCATTTTATACCCGAACCTGTTTAAAAGACAGCAAATATTAAATGGGTGTACCCGTTTAAGCCCAATTACTAAAGGGCTTGTAAGTTTAGAATCGGGTAGCCCATTTATTACGATCCTTGAATTTTCTCCGCCAAACGACGACGTTACGCTGTTTCTTCCCATTTCCACCGCTTTGAGTTCTCAAATCTCAACTTCGAGCAAAATGACGATTCGACGAGATTGACCACTGTAATCACTTGACGATTCAGGAATCCGACGAGAATCGAGATCGTTTCTCTATATAACACGGTGAATCCGTTTGAAGCTCTTCTCGAAGTCTCTAACTAAGATCGTCTCTCTTTACTCCGTCGATATATCTCGGCCAAGCTCGGCAATCATTCAAGTGAGTTTTTTCAACTGGGTTTTCAAGTGATTTAATACTTTGTAGTTTTGTTGAATTGGGTTTAATTGAATTTGGGGATTAGTGCCTTCAAGATGTTGGTTTTGAGATTGATCAATCTGGGTTTTTAAAATTCTTTGAGCTGGTTGTTTTTGTGGGTTTCTACTTTCTAGTAGCTTAAATGAGCTAAGATGTTGGTTTGTTTTTGTTTCATATCATTTAAATTGACCTGGGTTTGCGAAATTGATACTTGTAGTTCGTGGGTCTCTAATAGCTTTGATGCTCCTTTTATCACGTTTTATGTTGCATGTTTGATTGATAATCTGGGTTTGATCCTTTTGTCATGCTTCAAAGCCCTTTACGACTATTACTATTTCTCTGTAACCAATGTTAAATCATTCTCTGTTATTTTTTTCTAGCTTTGATGAAATAAGTCAGGATCTCTGATCTAGTGATATGATAGCACGTAGTGAAAAGCTTCTGATCTTTTTATCTTAATGATCACATTCCCAATAGCTTTTTCCTCTTGTTTAAGAACTTTTCCACTGCTAAAGAACCGTAGCTAATCTTTGTTTTACAGGATCATAACTTTTTCAGTTAACTTCATGAGTTTAATAAACATACTGACTTTGTTTGCTCTCCCAACATCTTCAGTTTTTGCAGAATGGATTTTGATGAGTACATGGATATGAATGATGAAGATGCTGTAAACTTGGGAGATGATATGAACGAGGGAGAAACAAAAGTGCAAGAAACAGATCCAACTCCAGCTCAAAGTGAGACTCAAGCAGCTCCAGTTCCAGCTCATCGACGAAAGAGGCGTTTAACTTCTGCTGCTTGGGAAGGCTTTGTTCCTGTAGGAGTTGGTAGTGATGGCAAGGAAAGGGGAGAGTGTATATACTGTCAGGCAAGACTAGTTATAGGTACCAAGACACATGGAACAAATCATTTGCTTCGCCATTTGGCTAAGTGTCCAAAAGCTCCCAAGAAGACAGATAGGCCTCCATATGATCACAAGATTGACCGAGAGATGACTAGCGAGATCATTATCTATCACGATCTGCCATTTCGATATGTAGAGTATGAAAAGGTCAGAGCAAGAAACTTGTATCTTAATCCAGATTGTAAACCTATTTCTCGACAGACTGCTGCATCTGATGTCTATAAGAGATATCTGGTAGAAAAGGAGAAGCTAAAAGAGGTTTTTGCTAATCATCATGGTCGGGTCTGCTTTACTTCTGATTTGTGGGTATCTCGTGCCACAATGACAGGATATATCTGCTTAACAGCCTCCTTCATTGATGCTAGCTGGATACTGCACAGTAGGATATTAGCTTTCTTGGACATGAATTGTGCACATACTGGTGAAGAGCTTGCTCGTGTGGTTCTTGAGTGTTTGACAGATTGGGGCTTGGAGAAAAAGGTTTTCTCCATTACCTTGGATAATGCTTCGAACAATGATAGTATGCAAAGAAACCTAAATGGACAGCTTCAGATGATTGGTGGAAGTGGTTTGGTATGTGATGGTAAGTTCTTTCATGTGAGATGTTGTGCACATATCTTGAATTTGATAGTGAAAGAAGGCTTGTTGTTAGCAAATGATTTGTTAAATGACATTAGGGAGAGTGTTAGATATGTTAAGGCATCTCCACAAAGAAGAAACGCTTTTTCAGCTTGTGCAGAGAGAGAAAAGGTCAAACCTGGTGCAGGATTGTCTCTTGATATAAAGACCAGATGGAATTCCACATACGATATGCTTGTGAGAGCTTTGAGGTATAGGAAAGCATTTGAGAGCATGGAGACTTTTTGACCCTCACTACAAGACACTCCCTTCACAAGCTGAGTGGGATCGTGGGGATAAAATCTCCAAGCTGTTAAAACCTTTCAGTGTTATTACTACCTACATGTCAGGTTCGAAATACCCTACATCAAATGTCTATTTCACGCAAGTATGGAGAATTGAGATGCTGCTGCAGAAATATGCTGATGATGATGATGCTGCAATAAGAGAAATGGTTGGAAGAATGCAAGGAAAGTTCAATAAATATTGGGAGGATTATAGTGTCATTTTGGCTATGGGAGCTGTTCTTGATCCTAGGCTGAAAGTGGAAATGATTGAAAAAGCTTATGAAGCTGCAGATCCTACTACTTCTTGGTTAAAAATTGATGAACTCAAGGAAAATTTGAAGATGCTCTACAAAGATTATCAGACTAGGAATCGTGCAAGTTCTTGTGGTGTTTCAGCTACACCAACTCCACATGACATTGTCACTGAGTCTCCACTTGAACATGACTTTGATGATGTAAGTAAAATTCTCTTCTTCACTTGTGAACCTGATTTCAATATGCACCTGATTTGTAGTCCTGGAAATGATTTTTAGTATGCACTTGTGAGTTTGCTTGATTGCAGGGAATGATATTGTGTAGGGTTTATTGATGATATTGATGCTTCCGTATTCATGATATTCATAATAACTAGTGTGTTAGTGTTACAGAACAGACTTTGCTTTATTCTTAAGACTTTGCTTCATGTAACTGATGATATTCATGATTGTTCATTACATGATCTCTTTGAATTAGAAAGAAGCCTTGACTTTGGTGTGGGCAACACAAAAACGCATTTAGATATCTACTTGGATGAGCCGAGGCTAGCGAGGAGTGCTTTTCCAGATTTGGATATTCTGGGCTACTGGAAAGAGAACCAACATCGGCTTGGTTGTTTAACTGAAATGGCACGGGATCTCTTAACAATTCCTATTACTACTGTTGCATCAGAGTCTGCTTTTAGCATAGGAGCACGGATTTTGACGCCTTATAGAAATCGTTTACTACCAAAGAATGTCCAAGCATTACTGTGCACAAGAAATTGGCTAAGAGGCTATGAAGACTATGAAGAAATCATAGAAGATGACAATGAGGCCACTAGCTCGAGAACAGAAGTGTCAACTTCAGAAAATCCTAGAGGACCTAGACCATGAGATAATCATTCTTCTCTACTTCTTTTTTTTCTGTGTTTCATTTCTTAATGTTCAAAGACCGTATAAGTTAAAAGAACTTGTTTTAAGTATTATATAGTCTTCACTGATTGTTAATTGTAATCTTACTGTTAAGTACTGAGAAGAATCAATCCCTTTTTGTAACATGTGAAGCAGATATAGAGAAAGTAAAGATGGTTCCATGTGAAGAATCAATTCCTTGCTCCCATTGTGGAATCGGATGGTTCTCGTGAAGTCGTGAGTGCTTCTTCTTCTTCTACTCACTCAATCCTTTTTCTTTTCATGTAGTCTTGCTGAAATCAGATTCATTTCTTTTATAAATCAGACCTTTCTTTAAGATTTTATACTCTGTTTTTGTTTTTGATTTTATGGGTTTCTTTAATGCAATAAAGGGTAAACACAGCAAAAAAAAAAATGTAAATTTGTTATTCAAAAAATTACACGGGCTTCAGTGGACGGACTTAGGGCCGGCAGGCTTAAAAAGTAATGGGCCTAAATGGGTTTAAAGTTTAATGGGCTTAAACGGGTATTGCTTAAATGGGTTCGGCCTGAATGGGCACTGCTTAAATGGGCTTGCCCATATTAACATTATGAGGCCTGGCCCACTTCTTTCTCTCGCTTTTTCCTTTTGGTTTCATTAACCGATACGAATTTCGGTTTACCACCAATACCAAACAACACACAAACCTCTTATCCTACGCTTTCTCCGTTCACATTAGCAACAACCAATGAGGGAGGCTGGGAGGGTGGTGGCTGCTGCCGTCATTTAAAGTGCGCACTCTGGATGGTTGTCATTATCGCGCCATCGTTCAGACAACATAACACGTGTCTATTTCTGTCATATCCACGTCATCATTCTCCTTCCTTACACTTTTGCCATTTTTAGGTTTTCCCCTCCAAAAATTTGTCCAATCACTTTGTTACCTTCTTTGAGCTTCATTTCTCGCTGTGCAAAATCGAACCGATTCTGAGTTCTTCACCGTCCGATTAACCGGCGATGGGATCTTCCCCCGATCCGGGCGAGTTGATTGAGTTTCCTCAGCCGAGTTTCGATGAGTTTCAGAGGCAGACGTCACTGATGACGAGCTGCAATCTTCTGTGGAAGGAGCTCTCGGAGCATTTCACTTCGATGGAGCAGAGCCTGATGAAGAAATCGGAGGCTCTGAAACAGATGATCGAAACCCTAGACCATCAGACGCAGACATCGATCGAGCTACTCAAGCATCGTGAGGTCTCTATAGACCACAGCGTCGAGATCGCGGCGGCGAAAGCCGATGAGCGAGCTCGAGCCGCTCTGGAATCGCTCGAGAAAGCTAGAGACATCGGCTCAAACGCCGACGACGACGACGGTGAGGTCGACGACGGCGACGGGCTTCTCTCTGCACTGAAATCGCTCTGCCTGAAGATGGACGCAAGAGGATTCTGGGGATTTGTGATCGCGCGGAAGAAGCAACTGGAGAATCTCCGGTCAAAGATTCCGGTGGCGCTAGTGGATTGCGTGGATCCGCCGAAATTAGTACTCGAAGCCGTGTCTGAGGTTTTTCCGGTGGACAAAAGAGGCGTTGAAGGCGCCGGAGAGAAAGCAACCAACGATTTCGGGTGGGCTTGCGTGGTGATTCTTGAGAGCTTGATACCAGTAATTGTCGATCCAGTGATTGGGAAATCTCGGATGCTTTTAACACCTAGCGTCAGGGAGAAGGCTAAAGAGATCGCTGAGACGTGGAAGGCGAGCTTGGAGGAGAGAGGAGGGATAGAGAACGTGAAGACACCTGATGTTCATACGTTTCTTCAGCATCTTGTGACTTTTGGAATTGTGAAAAAGGAAGATCTTGCTCTGTATAGGAAGCTTGTGGTTGGATCCGCTTGGCGTAAACAGATGCCAAAGCTTGCTGTTTCAGTTGGTTTGGGTGACCAAATGCCTGGTAAACAAACTCTCTTATTTTTTAATTTTCTTAGCTTTGGATGCAGTAGCTTAGTACTAGTCCATGTGAATATATGTTTTCATGTGACCTTACCTTAACTTTGATTTTGTTACCTGAAATGTTGTTGTCTTAGCTCTTTCTTTAAATGTGAGCTTGTGAGTATTATCTGAGAATGGAGAGTGATGGTTTTGAGTTGATTTATGCTGTTATACAGAGATGATTGAGGAGTTAATCATCAGAGGACAACAGCTTGATGCTGTTCATTTCACGTTCGAAGTGGGTCTTGTACACAAGTTCCCTCCTGTTCCTCTGCTCAAAGCTTATCTTAGGGATGCAAAGAAAGCAACATCTTTAATCACAGAGGACCCCAACAATCCCGGACGAGCTGCGGTAATTGCTCTATACGCGCTCTCTTAGCACTCTTTTATGGTTAAATGTGTAAACTTTCTAACACTTTGTTTGTATTTTTCATAGCATCTTGTGGCGCGGAAGGAGCAGTCAGCGTTAAGAGCAGTGTTAAAGTGCATAGAAGAATACAAACTCGAGGAACAATTCCCGCCGGAGAATCTCAAGAAACGGTTGGATCAGCTGCTAGAGAAGACGAAGACGGAGAAGAGGAAACCAGTAGCGGTTCCGGCCAACAAGAGAACCCGAGCAAGCTACAACGGTCCAATGCCACCAGCCAAAGCAGGGCGTATCACAAACGCGTACGTCTCCTCCTTCCCACCGCCACCACCTACATTCATCAGATCACCGAGCCATTCTCCTCAGTACGGTGTACCGGCATACAACACACCCCCACCTTCCATCTACAGCAACAGGAGTCCACCGTACCAATACTCACCCGAGGCGGTTCATGGGACGTACCAAGCTTCTCCGGTTAGTTATTCGGTTCCTTATGGTGGCTACTGCAGTCCGGTGGCTCCTCCGGTTTACCATCCTCACCCACACCACCAACACCAACACCATATTCAGCATGCTTACTACTGATTAAGTGATTAGACAAGACAGTGACAAAGAAAAACATGAAGATGGTAAGTAACCAAGTACCAACCACTGATCTCTGGTGTCTCTTGTGTCTACGTTTTTTCTCCACGTCGTTTTTTTTGTTGTAATATCTCTCTCTCCCTCTCACTCTCACTCTCACTCTCTTCAAATTTGCAACTAACACTCTCACTCTCTTTGGCTCTAAATTAGCAGTCGTTACCTTCTTGTGTGTTTATTAATTTATACATATCTCTGCTCTTTCCTCATTTCTCTGTAGTTCCTTAATATTTCAGTACGAACTTAGATTCATTTTAAATCGTTCTAAATTCATTTCCAGCTTGAAAATCAAGATTTCATTCAAGTAACATCAACTCTGAAAGCAAGATTCCATACAAAACGACACCGTATTACACTAAAAACGACGTTCTTTAAGCTAATTTCATCATCAGTCGTTGGCAGTGGCGAGCTGGAGAGACAAGAGCTCTTCCTCAGGGATCATCTTAATGTGACAATCAGAAGTTGGATACGACGCGCACAGGAGCGCGTAGCCACGCTCCACGACGTCTTCGCTTAGCATCCCGTCGCTCTGATCCACCGTTCCGGATACGAGTTTCGCCGGACAAGTCATACAAACGCCGAGATTGCAGTCGTAAGGCACGTCAAGTCCCGATTCAAGTGCTTTCGTTAGAATCGTCTCGTCAGGTTCTACTTCCAATTCCGTCATCTTCCCGTCGTGCTCCACCACCACTTTATACGAACGAGTAACAATCCCGCGGGGAAGAAAATTCCGGCGGTTCGTTGAGAGTGTCAAGTTCCGGAGCGGGAATGAGAAGGAATTGGAGAGATAAGGTTTAGGGAGAGAGATTATGGAAGTTTGAGGAAGGGGAAGAGTCGCCATTAGAGAGAGACAGAGACAACAGACTTGCGTCGAGTGGGAGAGATGAGTATTTGTGGTGAATACGAAGATAAGATAGGAAGGATTAAACCGGATCAGATCATATCAAACCGGGAATCAATTTCGGTCAACAACCACCGCGTTTTTAATATTATCCAGATAGAAGCATGTGACATGTGACACTTATCTGCAGAAGGAAGTCATATAATCATCATTCCGCGATTTGATTCGATACGTTCTTAATTCTCTTCAAACGTTTCAGGTCAAGGTTGTTGACTTTCCCAATCAGGTAACATCGTCTTCTTCCAATTTTTTTCTCTCTTTTTTTAATTTCTCTGCAGATTTCGACTCTATTTTGATTGGATCGGTTAGTTCTATCGGGTTTAGATGATTTTCGTTGTTAATCATAGTGATTTGGTGTTAAGTATTGACTATTACGATTGGTGTTTACACATCTGGGGATTTATGTTTATGATGTGTGTTTGATTTAAAAAAAAAACTTAATTTTTGGATTAGGAACTTTTGGCTGTAAATTTCGGGGTTATTTTAATAGTTTCGAATTTTTTTGAAGATCATTCTGCCGGTGATTTTGATATTCTCTTTGTGAATCAAGCAGTGAAGATTGAATCATGGCCTCTCGGATTGCTAACGATGTGACGGAAGTAAGCTCTCCACTTCTTACACTGTTCATTTTCGAAAGTGTTGAGTTTTTTTTTATCACGTGTTCATGTATTAATTTGATCTTATTTGTTTATCTGTGACTCAGTTGATTGGTAACACTCCATTGGTGTATCTAAACAACGTGACTGAAGGATGTGTTGGTCGTGTTGCTGCTAAGCTTGAGATGATGGAGCCATGCTCCAGCGTCAAAGACAGGTTTCTGCTTTTAGTCCATAACTCTATGCTGTTTCTTTTTTCTTTTTTTGAGGTTTGGTTTTGTGTAAAGCTTGTGTTTTGCTTCTTTTTTGCAGGATTGGATTTAGCATGATTAATGATGCAGAGAAAAAGGGTCTTATAAAGCCAGGAGAGGTCAATATTGATATCTGATTCTTATTTTGGATGTTTGCTTTTACGTTTGTTTTCTGACTTTTTTTTCGAGTTTGTTCTCTTGTAGAGTGTGTTGATTGAGCCAACAAGTGGAAACACCGGAGTTGGGTTAGCATTCACGGCGGCTGCAAAAGGATACAAGCTTATTATCACAATGCCAGCTTCAATGAGTGTAGAGAGAAGAATCATTCTCTTAGCTTTTGGTGTCCAGTTGATTTTGACTGACCCTGCCAAAGGCATGAAAGGCGCTATCGCAAAGGCCGAAGAGATTCTGGCGAAAACACCTAATGGTTACATGCTCCAACAGTTTAATAACCCTGCCAACCCAAAGGTATGCTTATTAGTTTTTTAGTAGTGTGAGTGAATTTGTTTCTGTCTGTTATTTGAAAGTTTTACTGTGACAATGCAGATCCACTATGAGACTACTGGACCTGAGATATGGAAAGGCACTGGTGGTAAAATCGACGGGTTTGTCTCTGGGATTGGTACTGGTGGTACCATAACAGGTGCAGGGAAGTATCTTAAGGAACAAAACCCGGACGTAAAGGTGAGAGAGCTCTTATCTTGTGTCATACAATTTGGCTGGCTTTGCAAGGTTTCTTATTGTGTTTCTTCTTCTGTCAGCTCTATGGAGTGGAGCCAATTGAAAGCGCTATTCTCTCCGGTGGCAAGCCAGGTGACTTGATTTCCCCCTCTGCTAATTACTTATTATCATTCGTGTTTCTTGTTTCTCCTTTTGATTGTGGAAGTTGCCTAACACGTGATGTTTTGCTGGAAATGCCAAGGCCCTCACAAAATCCAAGGGATAGGTGCTGGTTTTATACCAAGTGTGTTGGATGTTGATCTTATAGATGAAGTTGTTCAAGTAAGAGTACCTTCCAGTTTTTATTTTACTGACCAAAACTGTATTGCATGCGAGTTCTCACTTACAAAACCTCAATTTATCCGTAGGTTTCGAGTGATGAATCCATCGACACGGCAAGACTTCTTGCTCTTAAAGAAGGTCTTCTTGTAAGTGTTTTCACATTCACAACTAACATCAGTTGTTTGTAGGTTATTTGGTTTGCTGCATAATCTCTTTTCATAATGAAAAAACGGTTTCTAATAGCAAAATCTGGAAAAAATGGTAGGTGGGAATATCATCTGGTGCAGCAGCAGCCGCAGCAATCAAACTTGCCAAGAGGCCAGAAAATGCCGGCAAGCTTTTCGTGGTAAGTTTTTTGGGTTATGTTATTGTCACCACCCAAAGCAAAGCCAAGAAGCTCTGATATAAACACATGGAAACAAGAAACAACCACAAATCAATCTGAGTCTTTGTTGTATTCTTATCCTGAACTTCACTTAATTGTTGTCTTTACAGGCGGTGTTCCCAAGTTTCGGAGAGAGGTACCTGTCGACTGTACTATTCGACGCGACAAGGAAAGAAGCGGAAGCCATGACCTTCGAGGCTTGAACTGATCTCGTCTCAAAATCCACGATTTCTTCATTATAGAGACGCCAAAATAAAGAAAGATGTTCAGTTTCTCCAACAGAGCATCTTCATCTATAGTTGCAGTGCGTCTTTGCTTCTTTCTGCATCTCTGTGTACGAATAAACAACCAAGTAGATTCTGTGTTTCTTTTGTGAACAAAACTCATTTGCTGTTTAATAAATCTGAAATTGATGTGTGTGACTTTTGAGTATCATAATGTTTCATGATCAGAATTCAGAACTAAACCACATCTTTTTCAACATATAACCAAAGTCGAGATTCAATTGAAGGATCTTTCCGAGTTCCAGGCTAAGTATGAGATAAAAGATAAGGAAGAAGAAGAAGGCAATGTGGCTCAAAGGAGTGATTCTAATCATATTCCAATTTCAGAGATTTTATCATCTACACAAAATCGACAATCTTTCAATTTTCTCACTGCAATCACTAAAAATTGTACACAAATTTCACAATCTCAATATATAAAATCAGCTGAAAAAGTCTTGAACACCTTTTCCGATGAACACACGATCGGAGAGTTCAGCCAAAATGAAATTAACGGTGAGCAATACGACGCTAGAACCGGCGATAACACCGAGCACGACGCCTGTCGTTCCGAGCACTTTCTGAAATGCCGGCCACTCAATCTCCTTCACTTCCTCCGCCACTCCACTCAGTAACTCGTTCTTCCCTTTCAACTCCTCCGCCGCTTTTCTCTGCTCCATCGCCGCTTTTATCTCTGCTCCCAACGCGCTGATCTCCACCTCTTTGTCTCCGCTTCCACTATCTGCCGGTGACGGAGTCGCCTCTGACTCGGATTCAGATCCAGCTGTATCACGACTCTGTTCGATAGCCTTAGCCACATGATAATGCGATTTTCTCAGACTACTCGTCGCCGGAGTTCGAATCTCAGGGTAAACCGGAAATAATCGACGAGTGGAAGGTTGAGGTTTCATCGGAAAGGCTGTTTTCCTAACACCTCTGATTGTTCCGGTGACCGGCGGCGAGAATTGTGCGGCCAGTGACATTTTTCGAATTTGGGAACTCTGCTATTTTTTTTTCCTTTAATTTTAGAATTTCTCTTTGTTGAGGATAATGCACATAAGCGATTATCAGATACAACAGCGAGTACCGTAACGTTACTACAATTATGGGCCTTTGCAGCCCACAGGCCCAATTATTATTTGATTAAATAGACAAACAAATTTAAATTTAAATTAAACAGAAACTAAATCGATTGGGATCGAAAATTATCCGGCGAAGGCGCCGACGACGGGAAAAGTAACCAGAGGAGTGTATCGGCGAAAGCAGAGACGATGAATTTGTGAGTATGTTCTGGATTCAATGAGAGGTAGCAGAAGAGTAACTCCTGCAAGTATTCTCTATCGGCGGCGACGTCTCTCGTCAGATCCCTAGCTTCCACCATCTCTCTCATCGACCGCCCGAAATCTCTGTACGGATCCGGTGACTCAATGTGCTTCGTAAACGCCATTCCGCCGCTTAAAAGCTTCGACACGACGGATGAATTGTCTTCTTCTTCTTCTTCTTCTTCTTCTTCGCCTTCGTCATCGTTCGCTCTACGCGGAGAAGGATGCAATCCGCCGCCGAATGGTCTGGTCGGGTCATCGGATTCAGTTTCACGAGATTTTGGTTTGGTGAATGCAGCGTCGGCGGATAAGTTACCGGGACGGTTGCCGCGGTAGAGAGGAGAGGAAACAGAGAGATGATCGTAGAGAGAGTTGAAGTTGTTGATGAAGATTGAGGGAGTGTGATGGTGATTGGGGTTGTGACTCGATATAACAACCGGAGAAGAAGGAATCGACGGTGAGAGAACACCGGAGGTTGAGAAGCAGAGGTGAAGCTTCTTCTTTAGAAAAGTAGACATTTTTGGTGGTTAATCAAATTCAAAAGTGATTAGGACTTTTCTGTTGGCAATACTTATTTATACATCATCATACGATTACGAACAATGTGTATTAAGAGGAGGTCACGTAGTGAAATGCAATGTCCATAACGTAGCTGGATCCAGTTTTAAAAAAATTTATACAATCTTTTGATATTTTAAAATTTGTTTCGAACGCGGATTTTATACCAAGTCTTGAACTAGAACGATGATCATATTCGATTCCAAAATGAGATAAGACTTGTTAATAAAGAAATGTTTATATAACCTAAACTGACAAAAATTACCAATAATCTCTACAAGAACAATTTCCATCCCTAAACCGATGAAACCGGTTATTATCCCTCACAATGATCTCTCTCTCAACACTCCCAGAGACAAACTTGAAGAAGCTGTGGCAATCTCCACAGATCCTAAGGTTCTTAGTGATCCTTATAGGGACACCGAGAGGTAAAGCCACCAAGCCAAACGCTAGAGCCAGTTTCTCACTGTGGTGCGCGACTTCTGCTGCATTCTCCTCTTCCTCCAGATCATAAAGCGAGAGTTTCGAGTCAGGCTTGTACCCTGCAGCCTCCATTTCATTCCTCAGCTTGGTCAGCATTCTCTGAATCTCTTTGTTCTTTCTGTGGGATCTGTCCTTGGCTTGAAAGGCATGCACTTGGTTCTTCACCGTGATCCAACTGTACCCGGTTCCTTTCTTGATCCCTACGTCTTTCATCTCCACTCTCACGGTGTTTGCTTCCGCCCACCTATCACAGATCGGTTATATCATAAGTTAACGAAGAGAAAACGAGCATATAATCCACACAACAGAACTTTCCTATACTTAAAAAAGGACAATCTTTTGCATTGAGTCCACTTCAATCCAAACACTTAAAAGCAAAAGCTAAACAGAGACTATTCACATACAGAAGATACAAGACGAATCTACCAAGTAGTATCAGCACCAGACTCAAATAGTGCTCATAGAGTCTAGGTTTGCTCTAGTCTAGAATGCATTGTGGGCTTGTATTGAATCACTGAGAATATGATTCCAACCTAACAAGATGAAAGAAAGTTTGAAACTTTTACCTCCCAGCAGCTGCAAACGTATTGGAAAGCAGAACGTGGTTGGCTGAATCTTTAGGGTCGAGTTTAAAAAGGCTCTCAGCTGCTATGATTCCCAGTTGTGTCTTACTATGCATCCTACAAGCATTTTGAAGTGCACCCCAAACCGGAATCGTAGGTTGAATTGGCATTTTCTTTATGACCTCATAAGCTCGTTCCACCATCCCTGCTCGCCCTAACAAGTCAACGACGCAGGAATAATGCTCAGCCCCTGGCTCGACGCCATAACAACTCTTCATCGAATCAAATATCTTCATACCGTTTTCCACATCCCCTGCTCTACTACAAGCGGAAAGCACAGACACAAACGTCATGTAATTTGGCTTTGGACCGCATCCACGTGGTGCCATTTCATCAAACAACGCCAATGCCATATCAACCTCACCTTGATGAGCATACCCTCCGATCAGTGAATTCAAAGTCACCAAGTTCTTTTCAGGCATCTCATCAAACGCTTGCTCTGAATCTTCTATGCATCCGCATTTCCCATACATATGCACAAGTGCACTTCCAACAAAAATAGTCCTCTCAACACAAGCTTTCACAGCATGAGCATGTACCGATCTCCCCAGCTCAAGACCTGCCATACCAGCACACGCACCCAGAGTGCTTGAGATCATAAAATCAGATGTCTCAACAATCTCCTTCCTAGAACGTAAATACAACAGAGACGCCTTCTCGTCCTCCTGATTCTGCACATACGCAGCCACCAACGAGCACCAAGAAACAGCGTTTCTCGTACCCATCTCAGCAAAGACAACCTCACTGCAAAGAATCCGCTTACACTTTCCATAGAAATCAATCAACCCGTTGCACACTGACACATCTCCATCAAACCCATTTCGAAACGCAAGCCCGTGCAATTGCTCTCCTAGATTCAGCAATAACCCATCCGAACAAGCATTGAGAAACGCACAAAAAGTTATCGAATTCGGGTTCCCACCGATCCTTCTAAACTCTAGAAAAGCTTCAACAGCTTCCTTAGGCCTACCATCCAACACAGAGTTAGATATATAAGCATTCCAAGTTTCAAGGTTCCTCTCAGGAATTTCGTCGAACATCTTCCGCGCATCGTCCCTGAGCCTAGTCTTGCAATACATATCAAAAGCGCTACACCCAACGAACACATCCATTATCCTTCCACACTTCACAGCAAGCGCATGAATCTGCTTTCCGGTAACGGGAAATCGCAGAGAACCCGAGGCTTTGAAGGCACAAGGGAAAGTGAAGTCATTTGGGAACACACCTTCTCGTCGCATTTCGATGAAATCAAACAGCGCGGAGGAGTAATGACCGTTATTAACAAGTCCGGAGACGAGGGAAGTCCAAGAGACGACGTTCCGGGCAGGCGTGAGGCGGAGAACGATCCTCGCCGATTCGGGATGGTCGAGTTTCGCGTACATGCTGATGAGGTAGTTTGCGAGAAACGGAGGGGGAGGCGAATCGAGTGTCTTGACGATTCTGGCGTGCACGACGCGACCCAAACGCATGGAGCTCGTGGAGATTGCATCCTTGAGGAGTAACCCGAGAGCGTTCGCGGTGAGGCGGCTCATTATCACTAACGCCGGCGATAGGTAAGCTCATTGCTTAACGGCCGGTGAAACATTGAATGGCATTATGGTAATTTTCAGCTTCTCTGCGAGAAGAACCCAAGTAAAGGGTACAATGGTAATTTTCTCCTGCGCTTTTTCAGGCTAGAGTATGAATCGAGTGAAACTGATTAGTTGTAGATGAGCTCAGATCTTTGCTAAATTCAACCAAGTCTGTTCTTGATCCCCCAAAGTTTGTACTTTTATACGTCTTCCTCCAAAAGTTTATTCAAATTCAACTCTTTTTTATTCATTTGTGTGTTTCTCGATCGCAGGAAATTAATATTCTGGGTCTGCTCCGACGGATATGGATCAAGAGACCGATCAAAATCCTCATGGGTAATATTTAATTCGTGATATCATTATAACCAATTACACTTCTATAT